AAATGCCCTTTAAATTAAAAAGGAACTAAAAGCCGCATTGATTACGGTTGCGGAAGAATTTAATGGATAGAAAAGTAATGTCGCGTTGTATGAATAGAAGCAATGCAGCGATATAATATTTTCTTCAACGACCAACTGAGCTTGAAAAGCCTTTGTTAAATTCAGTGCATCCAGCCATTTATACTGTACAAATGGTAAAGATGTCTCGGTAGACGTATGAGGAACTTTGTTTATTGTTATGTGGAGATATTTAAAAGTTTGCTCAATTTAGGGTCTGTTTCACAATTTATGATTATGACAAACACATACATTATTTGGAAGATAAATTGTGCTATTTGACACTTTATCGGACTCATAGCTTATGATGGACTTTATGTGACGAATAGCGCTATCTGACAGTCGTGAAACGTAAAAATAGTGTTTATCCTACCAATAAGTAATAAATAGCTAATTTTGAACTTATGTAGAACTTATCCGTACATTGTGAAACAGACCCTTAATATTATGTTGAAGAGCCTACTGTCTACTATAGGGTTATAAATTTAAGATAATTTGTTACTATGTTTACTATTTAAATGGATACCATCCCTATCACCTCGACAACTGAGTTTCTGCTGACTGCGTTTTTTAAAGCAGTTTTTGCCGGGCACCACCACTATGTGGAACCAGCAGCTTACTGAAGTATTTCATAACCAATTCGATTTAGGTTCCTTCTAGGAAAGAGTGTACCAATTTGTAAAAGTCCGGCAACGTACTAGCGCGTCTTCTGGCAATATGAATGTCCATGGTCCGTATCACTTAACATCAGATGATCCTAATATTTCATTAAAAACAAATAACTTGGTAACTATGGAAACAAAGTTCTTAGTCTTTAGTATTTTTAAAAATCTAGACCTTTTGTTTTTGGCCTTTTTAAAGAAATAAAAACAATTATTGTTGTAATCGTAATACCGCTAAAATCTAATGAGAAAAAGTGTAATTGTATAAAAACCTAATAAAATAAACAATGCTAGGCAATCGCAGTGATTAGAGACACGTGGGAGGTCGCGTGCTGTCGCGGTTTCAATCACGTTCACGCAAACGCCTTTTACAAATACTATTTAGTTGCTTTTTGGACGGATTTGGTCTGAGCCGATTATGGAGTAGATAGTAGATTTGCGAGTGAATTTTTATGTTTCACGCCTTGTTGGCCTAGTGGTTTCAGGGTGCGACTCTCATCCCTAAGGTTGCAAATCGATCCCCACCTGAGCACCTTTCAGTGTATGTACGCATCTAACATAAAATATCAGAAAAAGACATGGGGCCTCCATCGTTTTTCTGATATTTTTTACTATAATTATATAGAAAACTAGCTGACCCGGCAAACGTTGTTTTGCTATGTATATTATTTCTAGGAAACATTTTTTTAGTTCAATGAAAATAACTATCTACTATGCTGTATCATAAAAAATTAAAAACAAAAGATAGTAGCCGATTCTCAGACTTACTTAATATGCATAAGAATCGGTCGAGCCGTTCCGGATGAGTATGGGAACGAACATTGTGTCACGACAATTTTATATATATAGAGATAAAAAATCATAAAAAGTTTTATCGTTCAGTGTTGAATCTAATTAGCATGAATAATATTTATTAAAAAGTGAAACCCAACTGAACAAAACCATTTTTTATAAGGGAAATATTATTTTATACGTATACAGACAATAGTACCAGGCTCGTGGCACCTAAGTTAATATAGTGCTTTTGACTTTAGGGTGTGCAACGAAGCGTAACTATCATCGGTGATGGTGGTTTCAAGGTGCACGAATACGAATTAATGATGTATTCGAACAGAACTAGTGACTCATTTCGTAGCATTTTACGACAGTAAATAAATATATAAATATTTGTTTGGTAGATTGGGTTTACTATTATGTGTTTCACAGACAGAGTGGCTTAGGTAAATCTATAATAATATTACAAAGAGGAAAGATTGTTTTGTATGTATTTTTGAAATGTTTTTACACAAAAACTACTGGACCGATTCCAAAAATTATTTCACCATCACCGAGTTTAACGAAAAAAAATTATCCCTAAAAAATCTGTCATCGCGTGCGCTGTGGAAACTATTGATGATAGAACAAAGAATTTTATACAGTAGTTGTTTTACCCACGGGAAATTGTATGTTGGCCTATTCCGAGTCGGAACTCCAAAACATTGAATTATTTTGCTGCCACAAAACAAAACTACGTCAAATGTTGTGTATAGGGAAGTTCTAATACTGAATATACAAATAAATCTCTTCTCATCTATATATTCGTTGTAAAGTAAAATATGTATATCGTTTGATTATGAATTTAGGTGTGTATCTAATAATCTAAGAGGAAGTAATTAAAAACCAAGAAAACTAACTAAAATAAAACTTTTAGCAAAAATATATATCTATATACGTCAGAGTAGACTTTCCACTACCACGAGATCGGTATCTACGCGAGTGAAACCGCGGCCCTAGTATTTTCATAAACATATATGTAATAATACTGTAATATAAGTTAACAAATGGCATTGGAAACGTTAGCTACTTAGCTTCCCTTTCCGTTGAGAAAATAAAGATCGATTTCATACACAATTGCGTTATAAATAAAATACCTACATAATATTGCAAAATATTCGATCTCATATGAGTAGTATTTAATAAATTCATTTATTTTTAATATCACAATAGGCATAATTAATTTAAACATGAGTTTGTGATTATAGTAAATAGGGTCTGTGTTCGTTGAGAGTAATTTACAAACGAAAAACAGTTTCAAATTAATTAAATGTATAGTAAATTTTTATATAAATATATAAAAATTTTGTGAATGTAAAATTGTAAGCATTGAATATCTATTTCTTTATTGACGTTCATAAGTGTGTATTACTTAAATTAATAGATATTTTATCAGTTGCAACTAAGATATGCAATAATGTAGGCCTTGATAATTCTAATTATTTAGGTCATGTATCAGTATCTAATCGCATTTACCCAATAGTAATTTTTAGCACGCAAAATCATTTTATACACCGGAAGTGGTCGGATTGAATGTTCCTTGGTTCGTGATTATGGCTTCCTGAAACTTAATAAGTTTGATAACTTGCCATATCTAATATCCAACAAAATTAACGACTAGACTAACTAGACTTGAAAACTTGATTCAAAGGTATATCCACAGTAAAATAAATTATCGGAGTTATTCTTAAATAGGTTTTTTTATGTTTGGAAAAATGCAATAGAATTATTCAGATTTATCGTCGAGCGGGATCTAAGCGATGTTATATAATTATCGATATAACAGATGTTAGTAATTTTTTTTTCTCAAATAACGAAATACATAATGTACAATTGTATTTTACGGACGATCACATATTACCTAAACAAGAAAATATGTTTGACATCCGTTTTTAAATGTTACATATTTATTTAGTTGTAGAGAAATAGATACGAGTGGACTAGGGGAACATTCCGTATGCTCTTTATGTTTTAAGCATCAGCAGGAAAAATAATTATTTAGCTCCATCCAGTTCCATTGCCCTTCAAGGCGACATATTCTACCTTATTCCCATTATTCATATTGCGAAAGCAATTGATCATTCTTCTGTCCCATCTTACTCGAACAATTCGTCATGATCGTAGAACAATGTCGGATTTGAAAAAAAATCCAAAATCCATATTTGGAAAGGTACTACAGTGACTAAACATTACGGCTACATCAAAAAAAAATCCATGTGTTTTAAATTTCAAATTAATCAGTCGGTAAAGTGAAGGATTTGACAGAAGCATGTGATTTTTCTAGAAAACTGTGTAATTTAATGTTATTATTTTTATTTTGTTTCAAAACAAACCCTTTTGTTTGCTTGTATGCCAATTTTCATCATAACAAAAATGAATTAAATAGTTATGACAAAAACTAATATGATTATATTATTTTGAAATGGCTGCCCTGTAAAGTTTACTATTTGTCAGATCCGTCACTAGAATAGTCACGACTATGACGAATTACTCTGTCGCATATCAAACCTAAGACATCTTGTTATAGGTACATTGTGTATCACCGGCTAAGTCACGAAAGCGTATAATACATCGACGTGTAATAACTCTACATTCCCTCATATACCACGGGACGTTTTTAAAGATAAGTGACATTTCGCGAGTGACAAGTAAATGTCGACGCCACTTGACCTACAATGCACAATGAACTATAAAAATAAACTGCATCTCTACTTACTACGAGGTGACATCTAGTCAAACTGAGTGCCAAATTAACTTTGCCATAGATAGGATAATAGCGGTTCCTTATGTTCATCCTTCAGGGTTTTATCATTGTCGTAAGAGGCTTATCAAAGTTTTGTAAAGCCTATCGTACATTAGATATACATATTATGTATATTAGATTAGACAGACTATATTACATTTTACCTTATGCTAGGAATATGGATAGGTGATTGAAACAAAGTTCTTATGCTGTTTATTTTACAATTGACACAAAACTAAAAGGCTTATAAAGAATTTATCAACATAGTTACGATTCAAAAGAAAGCTGATATATGTGTTTTATATATAATTTATACTCATGTTTGTAGGTAGATACTAAATAAATAAACTGTACGAATATATACGCCGTTAATAACATTTATTGATAGTAAACGTGAAATGTATACATTTTGCGGAATGCATTGGGTTGTTGCACTCTTAGTTTACGTCGTAAAGTACCCTCAAAATAGTACAATTCGCACGAGGCTATGTTTCCCGTTATAACCTCGATCAATTGTTATTGTATGTTGCTACCTCGGACTTCTGGATGAAATGTTATGATTTTTGTTTGAACATTATCTAGGATCCTTCCACCTGACGAATATCAAACTGCCGTTTGTTTTATGGTTATATTGGTCAAAGTCGATTATTTTTTACAGCACCAGATTATATATTATATTATGTTCTCAGGCTTTTCATACATGATTTAAAAAAATAAAGGCAATGATGGTAGATGCTCCAAATGTTAGGTATCTATTATTAAAATTCACAGTATGCAATAAAATTTTATTAGGATTATTACAATGTAATCAGTCATTTGCTCTTATTTAAGGTTTCAATTACACTGTAATTAAGCTTTCTTTATTTCCTTTTCAGGGAGGAGGTCCGTGAGCACGCAGTACGGTGGAACTCAACGTTCTCGTTCGTGTGCAAGATGTACGCAAATGCGAACACGGGTGTGTTGGAGCCGGCTAAACTACGAGTTTCTGTACGGAAGGAGTGTAAAGGTACTAAAGTTACAATAACCAATGTCAATTGGGAACCAAATTATAAATTCCTTTAATGTATTTCAACATACTAATAACCATAATATAAAGTTTGAATTAGTATCTGACTTAGTAAATATCTTCAGAAGACATGTAATTATTCATATCATAATAGGGTTATGTATTTGAAAACTATTTATAGTCTATAAAGGTTCTCTGGCAAAACAGATATTTGATACGTAGAGACTTTTAATGACTTTATCTACGCCGCGTAGAAGCGTATTTATTCCATTCATTAATTATTTTTAATTTAAAATCAAATCATAAAGGTAGTGCGGCGGGCTTTAAAGATTGTGTCAAATGATTTTTGATATAAGTTATATAAAAATAAGCTCAGAATGAGTGTTTGAAAATCTAGGCGAACTCGTTTCTTGCGTATTATAGAAAACTTGAGCAGTTTGCTTCCTGAAGTTTTTAACTGTTCTTGTTAAGTCAGTTTTATGTAACAAGCTGTTAACTATGAAAATTACACCATGTTTAAAGCCTATTTAAAATTGTCGTAAATGCGCAAAGATTTAATTCACTTTTGTAAGGAGAAAATAGTGATATTGGTATTTTTTAATATCCAAAAACTACTTATAAAAAACTTTATAGTTTCCATTTATGTAATTATGCGTCCATACATTTGTATGGTTTTTATTTATAATTAATGTTTAATTTAAAATAAATAAACGCGTTCGAACTTCACTGTCGTCAAGTACATTATATAATCGTTAGTTTGCCTCTCGTTTCAGGCGGTCGTTCATACCAGAAGCTGGGCTTCTGCGACATGAACCTCGCAGAGTTGGCGGGTTCGGGAGAAACGACACGGCGGTGTCTTCTAGAGGGTTACGACAATAAGTCCCGGCAGCGGCAGGATAACTCTGTTCTCAGGATACGCATCAAGATGAATATGATTTCTGGAGACCCTCTGTTTAAAGTGTAAGTAAGAACATTAAACTAGTGTATCAAGCCAGTGGGCATGTATATTATATACGCTGTAATACTTTAATAACATTGACCGCTTTAAACAAAGAAGAGCTTTGTGTGCCTTCCATCCAAAATCATTATAGTTTCGTCTAAAATCGAATCTAATGAAAAACCTAATAATACTAAATGAGAGGCGTATTATTATTTAATTTACGAAGTAATTATCGTGATAAACTCGTCAATGTCAATCGGCTTTTGTTAATTATAATTCCTTAATTATATCTATAGGTGACACAAAAAATTAAAATTAAATATTAATTTGTTCCACTGAGGACTCTTATGTTTTTTATTATTATATATATGTAAATTATTATTATTTTTCAGACCTGAAAGCAAACAAGAAGTGTCTGAAGGCAGATCGGCGGGGACTCCGGATAGCGGAGCGGATACAGCGCCAGCGGCAGACGACGACTGCGCCTCGTCAACTGCCAGCTCGGGCTTCGGATCATTGACTAAGAAGCACAATTATGGTAGGTATACCGACTCTTCATATTAATTGGGCGATAAAGAAGGTCTAGATGCTTTTGTCAACATGCTCGGCCTAATGTTAAATCGTAAGATTTTACAGTAATAAAGCCTAATTTAAAATCTTAGACTTAGTAGAAAACCGCACCATAACCAATCTAAACTAAAATGAACCATAGATAAGTCTGTTTTTATATTTTTACAGACAAAAACTAGACTAAGTAAAAGTTAAAAACAAAAAGTATTATTTAATATGCTGGCTATTATCTACAATGTTTTGTTTGGAAAAATGTATCAATACATTATCTTTCATTACAAAAAGATGGACGATCGAACAGCAAATTACGCCTCGATTCTTTAGAAAAGTGCATGTCTGAAATATCAGACCCTTTCGGTAGGATATCGAAAATCATCGATTTTCTATCGGAGAAAATCGATATATTCCACAAAGATAGATAGCCTACAATCGCAGTGGAAATCATTGACTGTCGGGTCAGTGATCGAAACACAGGATTACATTAACGATCACTAAACAAAACCTGCGTGGAAGTGGGAATGTTCCTAAAAATGGTCGTAATTCTAAATGCGAGCTATAGATGTGTTATAGTTTGAAACTTGAATGTGATATACATGATTAAGGGACGTGAAGGTGCACGAGGATTCTTTATATTGCCTTGTAGTGGAATTCTCAAACATTACGCAAAACCGAGATTTAAGTCTGTGAAAAATATTAAAATTACACAACAACAAACCAATATCATCTAATCTTCTCGGTAACCCGGTGCGGACGTTATCAGTTTGAGTACTTATCACGGAAAACAAAAAGACTGTATCACGTAACCAAAGACTGGGCAAAAGCAAATGACTACAAGTACTCTGGGTGTCTAATGAAGGTCAACGCTCAAGAAGGAGCTTAAGGCTCATCAACTAAGAACAACTATCCGACTAGGATATATTTTCTTGCATTCGCCTATATGATGTATCACACATACCAACACCAAATCATACAAATCAAATCCAGACCTACTTAATATATTAGCATACTTTTTTCAAACACACACTCCATAAGAAGCACTGTCATACCTAATAAAAGCTTCTAGACTCCTTTGTTTTATAAAGAGTACTACGTCTTCTACCGGCATATACCATTACTCACACACATAACTATTGCCCTACTCTCAAAAATATATGTCCGACCACAACAATTACTCTGGCTATTCCTTTTTACGGATTCATAAATATCTTTCCCACCATCTACTTGTGTCTATAAAATTCGATAGAATGATTTAATAGGCCATTGATGGCACGAAATTCAGCGATAGGAGCTTTTATGGCATCCTGAAGACTGCAAAAGTTTCCTTGAGGCCCAACCTATCAATCGTATCACAAAATATTCAAGGTCCAGAAAAACTTCGACGCCTTTACCCTCTTTCTTGCCAGGCTCGGGTTCGATAGAGGTCATTGTACTTAAATCTGGATCATCAACATTTTGACGGACTCTGTTTGAACGGATATATCTGCAAATACTCAAACAATATATTAACAAATGTGATGGTATTGTTATTTCCATAAGCCGGACATAAACGTAAGATATCGAACCTACTTTCTCTGAAAGAATTGTCTAATCTTGACAATCGATGATGACATAGCAATAGTAACATTATATCGTTCTCCATCCTTTGTAAACATTGACAATTTTTTGGCATGCTAGATCAAATCTTAAATCAAATTCAAAACAAATCTACCTACTTAGTAGGGGACATAAACATTGATATAAAAGAATCGTCAAGTGATATCAGGAAAGACCAATACTTAAACCTTATAGGTTACCATGGGCTTGACTGGCACACCTTTCCAAAGAGAAGGAAATCTTAGATCATGCTCTTGTAAATTCAAGCCTCCTAGCTAAAGTGGAGTTTGCCTTCATTGGAGATCACCTTTGCGTTATTTTAGGAATTAACACCATCCCCATAGCAACACCACAGCCTGAGGCCCTTAGAAACAAGACCCGAATCAACTATGAAGGAGCTACAGAAGAACTAAAGCTCACTGACTGGAAACACCTCTATGACATCAAAGAATAAATAACGAGTTGAAACCTTTAACGATACGCTAAAGAATGCCATCTCAAAACATACCGTCATACAACCAGCGAGAAACTCCAAAACCATTAGGAAACCATGGATGACCGCTGGTCTTCTAAATTGTGTAAGAAAAAGAGACACTCTTCACAAAACCGCTAGAAAAATCCCAAAGATCTTGAACTATTGGATAAATATGTAAAATATCGAAACTTCTGCAATAATCTTCTAAAGAAACTTAAAGAAAACTTCGAAAAAGAGATTAGGCAGAACAGACATAACACCAAAAACTATGGGAGTCAGTAAAAAGTATATGCCACATAGGTTCAAAGGAGTCGCATCCACTGACCTACTTCAAATAACACCCGATCCTGTGGTAGCTCTAAATAAAGCCAACGACTTTTTTACAAACATAGGCAATAGTTTAGGGAAAGGACTATCACATACTTACATACATCTGAGGAACAGCTAGCAAAAATATAGATAAGCCATCCAATCCAAACTCATTTTTCTTACATCCAACAGACGAAGAGGAAATATGTGCAACTATCAACAAACTTAGGGGTAACTCAGCTGGAGGTTGTGACAACATAGGAAGCGAACTGATAATCAGACTTAAAAACATCCTTGCGGCTCCTATAACCTACCTTTGTAACCTTAGCATGTGACCAGCACCTTTCCTGAAGCTTGGAAGCTAGCCAATGTAACCCCAATCTGGAAGTCAGGAAACAAAATGGACGTCTCTAATTACAGACCAATATCCCTTCTCCCAGTCATAGCCAAGATCCTAGACGATAGTGAACAAGAGGCTGCTCTCATTTTTAGAAAAGCAATCGCTCATTTCCTACAACCACTTCGGGTTCAGAAAACAAAGATCTACTGCAGACGCTGTCAGTAATCTTACTGACCATATAAGCGAGAAATTGATATGGGGCAGGTATGTATAGGGCTTCTTAGACCTCGCAAAAGCCTTCGACACGTCTCAACTGCATTTTGCTGCGAAGAATGGAACTGTTAGGAGTAGAGGGGGTGGCTCTGCATGGTTGCATCCTACCTTAAGGATAGGCAACAGCGTGTTAGTCTTAGGGGACACACAAGCCAAAGAAATACGTCAGATTTGAGTACCACAGGGCAGTGCGCTTGCACCGACCCTCTTTTAAAATATCAACGACCTGTGCAGTCTGTCACTGGACAACGGAAATATTTATTCATTTGCCGACGATAAGCTATGATATTTCATGTAAAACTTGGGAACAGGTTTCTGTCTTAGCTGAGAAAGGTATAAATTGCGTCTCCAACTGGTTCAAAACAATCTGCTTAGTCTAAATCTCAGCAAAACCAAATTTATGTTTTCAGCATAACAGATCGCTCCCGCCCAACGACCCTACCAGTCATAAAACTCCACACGTGCTATAACCAATATCCATGCCAGTTCCTTTCTCGAATACACCGAAAGTATAAAATATCTAGGAATAATAATAGATCGACACCTCATTGGGAAAAGCACATTGATGAAGTCTTCTAGGATCAGAAAGCTTATGTTAATATTTAATCGACTGAAACGAGTAGCGGAGGACGAAGTTATTAGAATAATTTATTGCACTTTGTCAGTCCATTCTCACATACGATATCGGCTGGGGAGGAGCGGCTGAATCTCTATGTTAAGTTGGAAGACAGAGAGCAATCCTTAAAGTTGCCTATCGCAGGCCGTTTAGATACCCCACAGTCAAACTCACCTAGAAACAAAAACCCTCTCGGTAAGGAAGCTTTACATCTTGGCGACCTGTTCAAGATATCATAGATTCCATGGGCTCACAATTCAGGACACATCTAAGAACAGACGTTTTGCATTCCCAACGCCAAACGAAGGACTGTATTTGGACAACGCCTTGCATTTAGGGGCCCCTTCCTTTATAACAAAATCTCCAAATCTATGGACTCTGAGATCGTAAAACTATCCAGATATAAATTAGCAAGTCACATAGAAACTACACTAGCCAAATTGGATTTCGAATCCACAGAGGCATTACTACATACTTGGTATGACTTTGAGGTTTCATAAACACAGACACAGTGCACGATCATAACAACTTTCAGCTACATTCTCAAATACAGCGCAAACTCACCTATCACAACTCACTCATTCACTTCATACGTAACACTAAATTAAACTATTATTGGTATTTTTTATTTTTTATTATCATTTTTTCATATCAATTTTTAAACAAATTTTAACATGTACCACGAAACAATTGTTTTCTAGTTACCCAAACACAGGGCCTCCCTATGGGGACTAGGGTTTAATTTCTGTACAAACCTTTCTGCTAAAGTTTTTATTATTTTATCTTTCATTACATTAACATTTTATCTTACAGAGGGTAGCCACAATCAGCCGTTATCATCCCTCCCATCGTGCGACCTACCTTCGCCTGACAATGAGGAACCGCCCACGCCTCTTCCGGATTATCCTGGTAATTTAATTAAAATAATATTTACATAGTATAATTTCACTTTCTGTAAATTTTAAACTACGCAACAGATAGTAATGCGGTTTCTACCTACATATAGTGTGATCTAAGGTTTATATGCGTATTTATATATATATAATATATATAACGAACCCTGCGTTATACTATATGCAGATCTGTCTGTATGCTTGTTATATTTTTTGTTGCCTTGTAATCGTGTCCAATAATTATTTGAAATAGTTGAATGGGACACACTAGTTTATAGCTAGTAAAATGTGTATGTAAAAACAACAGATTTGAATGTGTACATAACAATTTATTTTTAAACCTTAAGAATGTTTTATCATTTATAATTCTATAAATTGTAAAAAAAAATTCTTACGTATAATCGTGTTTCAAATGTAAAAATTTTTTTTTACTTTTAATTACGCAAGTAACACAACTCGAAACGTCTTTAGTTCTTGTTTTATTATTTTTCGCGTTTATATCCGTTTTGAATTTTTCTTTTTATGAAGATACAATATTTTACAGGTCTAACCGTAGTATCCGGATCATGCGCCGAATGTCATCAACAGCCGCACACGCACTCTCGCAACTCGTCCAACACTTCGGGAGACATGAGCAGCAAGGTAATACTGGTAAACGAATCCTATTTATTTATATATACTGGAAATAGTTTATATTACGATTATTAAAAGTAGAAATCGTCATGTCGGATTTAAAAAATATCCAAAAACCACTTTTTATCGTATTTGGATACTACGTTGATTTAATATTTCGGCTACATTATAAAAAATCCATGTGTTTTAAATTTCAAATTAATCAGTCGGTAATGTGACGGATTTGATAGTGATACATGTGATTTTTCTAGAAAACTCTGTTATTATTTTTTATTTTTTTGTTTTAAAATAAACCCTTTTCATTGCTTGTATGCTAAGTTTCATAATAACAGAATATGAATTAAAATAATTATGACAAAATCTAACATGATTATATTATTTTGAAAAGGCTGCCCTGTAAAATTTACTATTTGTCAGATCACTATTCTACGACTATGACGAAATGTTTTTAATGTTAATATTCTACGTCGTTTATTGTGTACTATGTGCAAATGACATATCAATTGTTCAATCATTTGTATGACAATTAACTGTATAAATACTTAGTACGTAGTTCGTATACGTACTTTATAAAAAGTAATTACAAATACTGTTTTTCATATAAAAAGGTTTATATATATTTTTCATATGCATTATTTTTTTGTTATTATATAGCTACTTAAATTTTTCAGGCATCAGGGTACGGCAGTTCCGTGTCAGCTGCCTCTGCTCACTCGAGGCAGAGCTCCGAAGGTGATTCCGCACCTGACAGGCCACATCACAATAGGTAATAACTTTTAGTTTTAGGTTGGAATTTTAAGGTTCAATTTATATTTATGATAAACCTTATTAGACATTATTAATGACTGTCAATAAATTTGAAAGGTATAATGGTAATAGTAAGAGACAGCATGATTGTGAAATGTATCACGGTCGAGGGGATAGAAAATGTCGTCGTGGTATAGAGTTCTGCTGTACAGCCCGAGCTTCGTTTAACAGAGTGAGCACGATACTAATCCGAGCCTGTTTATTAGCTTTTTTTTAAATTATGTTTATTTTGTCCCCCCCCCTCCCCCGCCCCAGCGTGCGCGTGGAACGAACTACGAGGACAACGACCACAGTATACGTGCCGCGATGCAAGCACGCGGGCCTCGCCAAGCTGGTCATAGAACGGACCCTCACTGACACCTCTGACCTTTACCTATCCCCTCCTTCTGACGTCTCTGATCCCTATCTCACCCCCAACGCGACTCTCACGGCACAGCCTGACGTCATACCGAGGCATGTCATACATTCCCCCCCAAGCGAAGAGTACAAAACCCCAGACAGCACAATACACGACGATTCATTCACGATGCCCACGTACTTCGATCAGAAGAGACGAGCTGCATCGATAATATCGTCAGTCGTAGAACCGCTCACTAACTTCCAAATTCTCAAACAGAAGTCTCTCAACACTATTCCAGCTTTAATAGAGAAGAACAAAAAGAATGAGGAGCTGTTCACGAACTTTCCCTTCTTAACGCCTCTCGCGCATAGAAAGAACTCTCTAGTCGCAAACAGGCTCTCCGGTTGCATAGAAGATGAGTTCTATTGCATTCCATCTGAGCCCGAGGATCTGACGGAGAAGATAGACGTGAGGCATAGGTTTAGGAGTGTCTCCAACCGGGCGCTAAATGAGCAGATGACATCCACCCCAAAGTCAGAGGTGGAACTTCTAAGGCACAGTGTCGCCGTATGCGCAAGGTGAGTTCCGCGTGCTTGCCTCTCCTCTCATCTCCCGTCCCCTCCCTTTCCCGCAAAACGGTTGTGGATATTACTATCTCTCTCTAATATTTACCTTTCACTTAACCGCTTCGGGTTTGGACGCGCGAATGCAAGGAATGTTCTCATGGTCTTCAAATTCATTTGTGATTGTGTAATTTAAGTGGAATACTCATTAGTGGATGATAACACGTTAAATTTGTTTTATTGCAGGCTGCAGATTTAATGATAACATTGAACTTGTACTGACTTTTATTTATATGTAACTATAATTAATGTACTATAAATTTAGTTATTCATATTATATATTAACGTTTGTATCCAATGCGGACGCAGACGCGAGTGCGGCGCGGATGCGGGACGTGCGTGTGCGTCGTGCGGTGCCTGTACACTGCAGCACAGGCCATCTGCCACATTGTCAGTACACATATACACTGCGCTTCAGTACTAGCTCTTCACTTCTAATTAATATAACTTGAATACATTATTTATAATTAGCATACTTGTGAAATTATTTTAAATATCTTAGTATGTGTATAGATCACATTCTATACGCGATTTAAAAATATTAATAGGAATGTGCCGATAAGTTTACTTGATATTTCACTAAGGGTACTCAGAATCAAGACTTCCGTATGTCTAATATATATAGGTTTACTTAGTGCTAGTCTCTAATCTAAGTCGACCCTAAGATTTCTTTTGTATAAAAAAAGAAAAATCTTTAATCTCTAATCATTATATTCGTTTAAACCTATTAAAAACATTAAAGTGTTGAAGCGCAGTATTCATAGATGTTGTCTCGTGATTATGTTGCAATATATAGCATTTTAATTTCGGGTGCTTTTAAATTTTTGTACATTGGTCTTATATCTTATGTTAAAGCTTTTTAAGTTCTGCATTCTGTTATTTTTATAAGAAATTGCATGTGTTTTGCTTAAGTGGTGCACGTTTGGAGCTTTCGATGCATGTTTTCAGTCTAATGTGCAATAAATGTAACATTGATTTAATTTAAATATTTTATAATAACTGTATTACGATAATTTTCTCCTATGTATATTTCGGAGGAAATGGTGCTGGTATCAACTGCCATTGTCATTTTATTTAATAACATCAAAGTCTAATTAAATCAAAACCGGTTAAGTGGTTTATTTAATTTGCCTAAATTAATAGATCTACAAATTAACAGACTATTTGATAGTCTGTAGTAATAGTCACTTCAGTCTGTATTATAATAATAACATGTCTTAACTTGTTTGTCGTTTTAGAATTCTATTGCGCTTTATAATTTTAAATCCAATGCAAGACAAGCAAACATTATTTTTATTGATGTTGAACGGACTAAGAAGTTTTGCTATGAAACAAACTAACAATAACTTATTAATCGTTTTTATGTAATTCTAAATTGTTTTATTTAAAGGTCTTAGTGAAAGTTTATCATCGTTATTTACATTTAAAATGCAGGTCCGTATCGCCAATTTTTAGTTACCATAGAGACGGCATATTACTCAGTAAGACGTTTCAGAACGTCTTACAAATCTAAAAATCAGTCTTTACTTCTTGTAACAAATTCGTAATAAATATAATTTGCAATTTAAATGTTGCTATACATGATTATTTCAAGATTGTTATTATAAATAACAATATGTATAATGTATATGTATTGTGAATATAAATCTTATAAAACATACAACTGAATGAAACTAATAAAATGATGTATTGCAGAAATCCGTCTTCGGGGTCATTGACCGCATCAGCGTCTGAGTCGGGTTCGTTGGAGCGCGCGCGTGCCGCACTCGAGAGACGGAAAAGAGTCGCTGTACCGCCCGTACAAGACGATACACAGGTAAATTTAAAAAAATAATTTGGTTAACTTTAAGTTTCGTCTTATAAAACAAAGTGGCCTCTATTTGTCTGTATGAACGCGATGAACCCAACAATAGCTGACTAATAGATAGTGTGTAGTAATATTAGTAAGTTAGTAATTCAAGTAAATTTACTGATTATTATTAAAGACATTGAAAAAATCCTAAATAAACGAAATGCATTCGAAGTTTCCGGAAGCTTGTATATAAATTGAAACACATTGTACATAAATATAAGATCTGCCTGTTTTATTGATATACTTTACCGATTAATAATCTTTCTCTCATTTAATTTAAACTACGCTATTTGAAACTTTACTTAAGTCCTCAGTAGTTTACTTTATACATTGATTTTTTTTAATTCATTCAATATTATGAAAATCACCTTTAATATAATTCTTTAATATGAAATTGTGAATTACAGCATGCGGTATCGTGTCGTGTGGAGAACACCCGTGTGAACCCTAAGTCCCTGATCGAGGAGATCATCTCCGCCACCGATCTTAAGCAGGCTGTAGAGGATCCGGCCGAGAGTAAGTATATTATATTTATTTGTTTATATTTTTTTATAATCAGTGTTGTCGTAGGGGCTGAACGAGGGCCTTTTTATTAACAACTTTTGGACTTTCTATATGCACATTTAATGTTCGCTCGTACAGTAAATTCGAAAAAATATCTATGAAAGAAAAAATATTTTTAAAAACAAGGGTTTGTGTCAGGTACAGAAGGCTGATTATCTATTTGCCTATTTGAAAAGACAATTGTTTTATTTATAATGAATAAAGAAAATGTAATCTAATTTGTAAAATAATTAATTATAATTTACACTGATATTTGTAAAAAATATTTTGGTTATGATATTGAAGGCGTTACCTAGAACACTTATCTCATTTATATATCATACAGCTAACATAAATTACATGTACTAAAAAACAATTATACTAAAGATATAGCCGAAGCTGGAAAACATAATAACATAAGGGTTGAAACATTTAGAAAAATAAAATATAGATAAAAATGTTTTTCACGTTTTTTTATTAAACAAAACTTTAGGTTGATTTGTTTATAATGATTTTATAATAATATTTGGTAGGGTAGAGATGAATTTATGTGTGCTTAAAAATGTATTTATTTTAAATCTTTTAGTAGGTAATTTTTTCTTTAGTACATAAAATAATATTATTATAATGTAAGTCGACGCTACGCAGGGCAGAAAAATTTATATAATTATGTTCCACCGTCACATTTTTATAATTAGTTAATAAATAAATATGGCCTCTGCAAATTATCGAAGATTTGAATATTGTTCGTATTTGTATCACGTATAATTTGACGTTACAGCTTCCGGTCTCCAACTGTTCATAACGCCGGAAGGAACGGCGGAACTAGGTTCGAGACAGCGTGCAAGACAACTTGCGAGACGAGATTACCAACGTGTTGTGTTACACCCCCATCCCAGACCACACCCGAGGGACCACAGGTGATCAGATACACGAATTATACGCTCACAGTGTATGGACTGAACATAAACTCCTTACACACACTTTGCACATTGACTTATTTCATCACATTATAACCTTTACCCTTTTGGAGGGTCTATTCTGGTTAATTGTCGTCAAACGTCGAAACAGAAATCGTAATTTTACCCCTATCCACCTCCACAACCAGCTACCTACTGAAGTATTTCCATACCAATTCGACTTGGTCCTTTAAGAAAAGAGCATACAATACTTAAAAGGCCAGCATCGCACTCGCCCCTTTGTCTATTGTGAGTGTCTATGGTCGGCGGATCACTTAACATCAGAGGAACCTCCGGACAGTTTGCCCCAATTCTATAACCTTAAAAAAAAATCTTTTTTAAGACATTTCTATTGCGAGCTAGAAAAATCAAACGCAGGCGAGAGTTTATTGATATCTTGAAGGCTTGAAGCATTGTTCATAAATATTGATATTTTACTTGTAAATTACGATTTTAAATTGTAAAATTGTAAACGATCTTGAAACGTGTGTCTTAAGAAATGAGTAATGTTTCTAGTTGGTAGACACTACTTACCTTAAAAATTAACAAATGGTTTATGGAGTTCAACACATACACACACACACACACGCAACTTTATCTATTTTCTTATACAGAATTATAAAATTAAATCTTGTGTCAGGTAGCCAACGGTGTGAAAGTGCGACTCTGCGCGCGCAATGCAAACCTGACACTTGATACCTGACGAAAGATTCGACGCTTAGTGTTCATTTTGCTTGAGTCCTAGGACTCTGAACTATAACAAATATTTTTGCAACGCTTTATAAGTGTTAATTAGTGTATGAGACTTGCCGACAATCTATTGACGCAAAGACGGGAGAGCTTGCTGTCTCTATTATTTCCCTAATAAAAACAGGGATAGTTGAAAGCATGAGTGCTGGAGTGCTTTTTTGAGAGACAATTGTATTATTTGCCAATAACGTGAAGTAAAGATTGTGTTGCCATGGTTACGACTTCATGGTAGTCACCGTAACTATGGTAACGAATCCTTTATTTAAATTTACGTTTTAAAACGATATAAGAAGGACCTACAAATATTGAGAATGGCACCCAACCTTACTATTGTCGATATTCTAAAAACATTATTTTCACGTTTAATGGAAAATGGGCTAGTTGACTTTATTGACTTTATAGAAATGGCAAAATGTTGGTATAAAAATATTTGACATTAAATTCGATGATTCGTAATTCTTTTACTCATAAATTTATTTTAATTTTATTTTTAATTTATTAATTCGTATTTTTGTAATATTATTATTATAAAAATACTCTCATAATAAAACGTCAACTGGCCTATTCAAGGGTTCACTATAAAGGCGTTTTTTCAATTATTTTAATGCGGCGGCGATGTTTTTAGTTAAGATGAATTGACATGTGAAGGTGGTGTGAATTGTATAGAATGTTCCTCTTGTAAATAAACGTCGAGACGACATATTTATTGTTTTTAATGTATTATAATTAATGCCATATGTTTTACTATGTGTATTATATTCGGCTCGGGACATGCCTATAATGAAAATATATCTTCATTTTATTTGTATGAACTTTTAAATGTTTTTTAACCTACGTTTTTACTTAATTGTACGCATTTCCTTAAGCCGATGTAGTGCTTTAAACTTATACGATCCGCTCGATATTGCTTCTAAAACAATTAGTTCCTGTATTAGGTCAGATGAGTTTGAGGCACTATCAACCTTTTGATGGCAGCTCGATTGATTAAGTCGTCATTTATTGACGTTTCTAAGATACAATTTGTGTGTTCCTATGCTTAATGAAAGGACGATATAAATATAATTCTTTGCTTCCATTTTGTACGAATTTGTGTTTCTAAGTAATTTGCAGTCCTCCAGTTTCTCCTTCAGAACGAGTGCTCACATGACGGTGCTAAGTCAATGTGTAGTTAGTATAGGTACTGTGACGTCATCCCTTAGTTTTTTAAAGCCTTCAATTATATATACACTACCAGACCATTTATAAGTCGCATCGTGCTTAGAAAGTGATACTCGCTTTGTAGAGCGTCATCTGTCACACGAAACACAAAATAGTCTCCTATCTATTAGACAGAGACGGCGCTATACGAAGCCGCAGCTAGCTGAGTATCTCTTTCTAAAACACGATGCGACTTATAAATGGCCGGGTACTGTACCTATGTGGAAGAGAAAATTGAGGGTTGTCCACAAAATTTGAATTAATACTGTTATAATTATTTAAGCTTTGAACTTCCATCTTATTAAGTGCAACATTTGTAATTGGTCGTAAAGTAATTTACCTTTTTATTTTATCAGATATAAAATTCGCTTCTTTATGTAATAAAATGAGACTGTTATTCCCAAATGAACTGATAGTTTCGAAGTCCTCCAGTCCAGGCTGCTTGCGTTTTTTTTTATATTTTTACCTTAAGACGACAAAATATATGTATTATTCTAATTAGTAAATCTTAGAAATAATTGAAATTCATTTGTTTAAGTGTCAAAATTTCTGTGATTGAAGCAACAAAGTAATTATTTTTTTCTGAAATCCCTGAATCCCATTTAATATTACTGTTTCATTGTGGAATGTAAAATTATTAACAGTGATAAATATTGATCTAAATAGAATGTGCAAATGTTTAATGTAATATTTCAATGGCGGGATGGCTTAGCTGTGCCAAAATCACTAGATCCTTAATACAAGCGAGCTTGTTATATTAAAATAGGTAATAAAAAATAGTAAAAATTCGATTTTCGAACATCAATACAGAGAGAATAACTATCGGAAATTTTATACAATATATTTATTTTTAAATTTGAGGTTTTATATATTAGATATGGTTGATACGTTATTGTTACATCTAGATTGTTTCACATTCTCTAGATTAGAGGATCTCGCTCGTATGAAGGATCGCGTTATATAGAAAATATTACGACGGGATATTTCTAAATAGAAAGGGTTTTGAAGCTTTGTATTATACCGAGATCTGTCACTCCTTTGCGAAAGCTTGAGGTTTGCCGTTAAAAGTAATGCCCGCCGCCTGACGTGGACAATTTTGGACGCGGCTACCGTAGCGGTTGCATTTACATGTTATTTATCGTGTTGAAATTATGTATTCAGTATTAATGTACAATTAATTTATTGAGTAAGGTCGCTAAGCACATCGTAACGTGTATTGCGATGTGTTTCCCGACAGGCGGAAGGGACGGCGGCGGAATTGTATCATATGTCTTGTAATACAGCCTGTACAGTATTTGAATAAAGGACGTGTTTAGAGCTATATTGTGTTTTATTTATTTCATAAAAAAACAATACTTCTGAACTAAACTTATAAAAGATGTTTCAATGAAATGTAACAAAAATCATGGCTTTAAATTCAAATCTTTTAAACCCAAAACAAAAGATAAATAATGATACATCTGGGGAATATATCTCTGTTTTACCAAGGTCAAGACTGGTAATAAATGATTAGGTTTTAGACATTCGTCAAAAGGAGCCGTCGTAATGTGCGGTTACTGTGTCGTCCGTAATTATGTTTATACCGTGAAACAATAGTAAAACGCTTTTGCTCTTCAGTCTAATTAGAAAAATAACTGTAATATACATTTAGTTATTTTTAACTATTTTCACTAAATACATAACAACACTCTTATTTAAATCGTCGAATAGGAAACAAAATAGCTTTTATTCGAAATAATAATTGCATTACATTCTTTTATTTTTTTTTCTGAAAAAAAATAGATTTTGCTTTTACGAATTTGTTTCCCGAGGCAAGCGCTCTGGCCGTGCAGGTATTTCTCGAGCATTGTAGCTCTTTGACCGTATTCAACGAAGAGTGATTCGAATCGTCGACGACCAGTCACTTTCAGAGCAACTTGATCGCGTGATCATTCAAAATTAATACGCGTGAAGTGAATTCTGGCAGTTTTTTAAATTATTTTTTTTAAACATGTACCTACACGGCCAAACAAGAAGTGGTGGCAATAAAGACAAGAAGATTTTTCACTTCTTTAATAAAGTTACCCATGCCCATGGCTAACATGGGTTATATTACACCGTTTTATTTGAAAATTAATGTTACTAGTTGAATGTGATAGATTTTCTGTATAATAAAAAATATACTTAATAATTTTATACATATAAATTATAAATTAAACTTTTATCAAGGAATCATAACGATATAGCTCTTTAGTTGTGGAAAAATAAAAGAATTGCTGTTAATGCTTACGCCATTATATTTAAGTAAAATGTTTTGTTGAACTATAATTGTTTTAAAAATCACCAAGATCAATTTAATAAGTTTTACCATTAAGTTTATTATGATAAAATCATCTGTCGAAGCAAATATGACGCTTCAATTTCAGAACTCAAATAAAAAAGATGGGTAATAAAAAAACACTAATCAGTTTATACGTTTATTGTTTAGTAAGTAATGAGTAAAGGCCAATAAACTTGTGGCTAATACATAATAGTCGCTTCGTGTGGACGGTAACATTGCCGAAACACAGGCAGCTGCCTCGACTTAGACTATACTAGTTTGACATCTGTCATCGTGGCAGATGTAGTTCTGACACATAGAGTAAATACTCACCAAGTATCAAAAATGTTGATAGTTGATACTATCAAAACAACATATTTGGTTAAGATTTAATTTTTTTAATAATTATGATTATTTTATGTGTGTCACAATGACATGTTCTGTGTCTTAATTATTATAAGTACATAAACGACTACAATACTTTGCACTAATTATTGTATTAATAAATAATATATATTTACAAATATAATACCGCCCCAAAGTAGTATAAATCGGACGCGAAATATGAATATATCACAAAACATCGACATCATAGTAACATTTCTTTAAAATTAATACGTAAAAAGGTAAGAAAAATTAATATTGACCATAAAACATTTAATTTGAAGAAATCACAAAATGGGAATGTCGAGAAATGATTGAGCAAAGATAATCACTTAGCATTAATTAAGTACATATTTATAATTAACATTTTATAAGTACATTACAAAAACAGTTGGTTACATAAAAACCAGGATTTTTGTGGCTATCTTTTGTTCAGAGCGGAGACATACACGTTACTTACATTCTAATGTACTTCTATGACACTAGCCACTAATGCCACAAACTTATCAGACCGAGCTTTATTATATTTCAGTTAGCTGATCCGACAAGCTTGGGTTTACTGTTATTAATCCTACGAGAATCTTAAAATGTTTTGAGTGATACGGATAAATTCTCGCATACTACATTAATTATGCCTATGTTATATAATTTATGAATATATCTCTCAATATACAGACTTCTGTTTAAGGCACTGGGGCCCGCCGCCATCCTTGACGCAACCCATCTCTTCTTTATCAACTCTTCCCACTCTTTCTCCTACTCAAGACTTGTATAATTTTCAAATTTGAAAATTGCGTGTCCAACTAACTACGACTAGGTTCGGGTTTTAATATTCAATTAATAAACCCGTTTTGTGTACCCAGTTTGGATGTTTTGTACCAGAAGTTGATAAAAAAGAGACGTGCTCGTGGACGTAACGCGTGCGAGCACCTTCACTATCAAATAATTTAGAATTTTCACGCTTTCGTTTTCCTTACACTAGTACCGTATATACATACATATAGACATACAAAAGTAAGGCAGAACCACTAGACTGAAGTAAATTCAACGATTTAGAATTTATTTAGGTCACAGAAGGAATATCTAAATTGATCCACATCGACTACGCTTATTGAAATAGGTTTTTATATTAAAAATACTAAGACATGATCCGTTATCCTAACATATACGCTATGAGAATGACTCACATAGTCACGTGACATTGTATGGAACAAATTCGGCCCTTTTCTTATCAAGAGCCCTGGACATATTTTCACTAAGATATTATATTTTCGGAGACATTTAATTTATTTGTTTTTCATTTTATACTGTTCATTAAAACGAAAACCAATTGCACTATTTTCATCTCTTTTCATCACAGCGCAAACAAAAGATGACAGAAAGAGTTAGATTTAGTTTTGATGAAGACTGTATATCATAATAAATTTTAGTGTCATAAAAATTGCCTATATATAGAATAAAATGGACAATCGCCGATCGGCTGTCTGCTTATAAGTACTTAATACGTATATACATTAACTATTAAATTGTCAAAAAGTATATTTTGTCTAACGATGCAATTATATAGAGTCGTTTTGAATACATTTGTTTTACTTACATCTACACAGTTAATCTCACACACGACACTTCAATAAGTACAGTCGGATAATTAAGTATATTGTTAATTTAGAAAACATATTTAAAAAAGTTTGGGAAAAAATATAGTTGATAAAGTATGTCCGACTGACTGTACAACACATCATCAGAGTTATATGAATTGTTTTAAAGCTTTCATGAGTGTCTTTGTATTGAGACATGTCTCTGTCTTTCTCACACACACACACACACACACACACAGGTACAGTTTACACAAATCGTCATTTGGTTGAGACGCGCCTTCGCTCGCTCTTTATTTAGATCTGAAAAATATAATTAACATTAATTTAAGTATACAGTTATGGACTTAGCTAAAACAGTGGAAAAAATTTATAAAAAAGAATCTTATCCATTAAATATTTATTAAAACAGGTGATAAAACTTGTATTTTTAGTTCCTTTCTATTTTGTTTGTTAATTAATTGTTAAGTTTACCGAAATTTAAAACAAATATATGTGTAATATAAATAAATATATATATATATATATCTATACTATATATAGGTATATCTATACCCTATATAAAGCGAGGAAATGCTGCCAGCGTTAAAGGTACTCCAGGGACCAAACTCTTTGAATTTGTTTTAATTTTTAATTATTATTATTACAATGTAAAGAATATTGAAAATACTGTATATTTGTATATTGGAAATAAATGTGTAACAAAGTAAAACATATGTAAGCGGAATAAAAAAAATCTTAAATAATATAAAAATAAAACTCACTATATAAGCCTCTCTTCGGGTGGTGGTTTCAACGCATTATGCATCATTTCAGCTCTTGGGTTGCAATACTCTTGTCCCGATGGCGAATAAGTACCGCGCGTCGCACGTTTGCGTCGGGCTTGCGTGGCCAACACTGCGACTACTCCGCCAAGTATCAACGCCCCTAGGAGCGCCCCGCCCACCGATAATAGTATCGTCGTGGTATCAGCACCTTCGTTTTCATCTGATGTCAGGAGCTGCAAATTAACACAAATTGGGGAATTGGTTATTGGAAATTACTTTTGGCGCATGATTTTATCGGTACGTCACGAAGATGTGCAGCGTTTATGTCGAAGAAAAGGGAGAGAGCTATTGAGACCGATTGGGAGAGAGTGAGAAGGGCGAATTACCTTATAGAAATTCTATTTTAAAATTAAAATTTCGTAAAGAGAATTTATGAAATATTAGTATTTTATATTTTATGCAAAATAATTTATTGAAATCTCAAAGACAAATTGTAAATTAAAATGCCACGTGCTAAGCAGCAGGGGAGTGTTAAATCTCCCCTTTCCTAAAAAAGGACTCTATTTGCTTAAACTTAGGTCTGGTAAGCTACTACTCCAGAAATAACCTCATGAAATTTATGGGCGAGTTGGAGCCTGATGGGCGACGGGACTCGTGTTACCTCTTGTGCTATTCTTAATGACATATTTGACAGTTCTAAGGCAGAGTTTTTCCAGCTGCGATCTGTGATCGAGCAACATGTCGGATAGCCATCACAGGATACCGGGGAATTAGTTTAATGCTGTATAGTGTAGTTTGTCTAACTCTTTTTTATGTTTTAAATTTATTTAAACATATTCTAGCTGTCGTATGCATGTGTTTTAGTTTAAGTGTTACCATTTTTTTAAATCTAAAACAACCTATGCAAATGTTTCTTGAGCTTGTAAAACTTCTCCAAAATATTATTAATAATATTAACTATCGAGATATAAACATACATTAAACTAAATAAATGTTTTTTCATAAATGATGTCGTTTTGTTTTTAAATTTACCTGCGCACAATCCTTGCCAGTAGCGGGTTGCGTACAATCACAGATATAGTCCGTAACATTCGTACACCGTTGCGTACAATCTCCGCCATTGAGGCACGGGCCCGTGCGGTTGGCCCCGCCCTCGTCGTACACCTCGTAACAAGGGTCGGGTAGGGCGCACCCGTCGCCACATAGGCCTGCCTCACAATCGCACCTGGAATACAAGGATAAATGATGTTACAAAAAGAAAATTAATAAAGTTTCGATACTATTTTTGTTAGTAGAAAAATGATTCTACTGGATTGGCCTATGCGTCCGAGGATTCACTCCTTCTTTGTATCCAAACAAAATACATTACATTTTATTTATAAAAGTATGCAATCATTCCATCAATGTTTTGTTATGACGTCACGGTAAACTACCGTCCGCAACTTTACAAACAAAAATTTTTGAAGTTATACTTCTTTAGGCGCGTTAAAAATGATGAGAGTAAATTAAAAGCCTAAGTAATAAAACCAAATGTTTCAATTTTTATCTCCATAAAAACCTTCCTCAGAGTTCAAGAAACTCAAATTGGTCCAGCCGTCTTCGAGTTTTGAGCCTAACAAAATATTTTATGATTAATTTTTATTTATATAAAATTACAATAAACAAAACTGGTGATTAATGTTTATATGTTTCTGGTTTACCGCTAAATTCTGTGATGCCTAAATAAATTTTCCTAGATATTGTCACTGTCTAAAGTCTAAAAAATCTCTTTTGCATAGCAGTCGAAAATGTTATATCGTAAAGAAGTTTAAAATATTAAGTACTCACGTGTATGATCCAGGCAGATTTCGACAAACGCCGGGTCCGCAGTCAACACGTTGCTCCAAACATTCGTCCACATCTATTTCGCAATGGGCGCCGCGCCATTCTGAAATTGCCACGACCTACATTAGTATTGTATATAAATATGATAAATATAATTATAATAATTCTGAAAATATTTGTTTAATCTTCTAGCGCAGTGTTGGCCTAGTGGCTTCAGCGTGCGACTCCCATTCCTGGGGTCGTAGGTTCGAGCCCCGGCTATGCACCAATGAATTTTCTTTCTATGTTTGAATTAACTTTCGCATTAAACATTCGTTCAAACAGTGAAGGAAAACATCGTGAGGAAACCGGCTTTCCTTAGACCCAAAAAGTCGACGGTGTGTGTTAGATTAGATTGACAAATTATCATGAAACAGACACAGATATCTGAGGCCCAGACCTAAAAAGTTTCTAGCGCCACTGATTTATTTACGATTTATCTTTTAGTAAATTCGTTTGAAAATTCGTTTGACGTCCTGGTAAATCATTAAGTTTTGATTATGTTAAATAACACTTTATTCTCTTGATCCAAATTTAGATAGGTATGTATCTATCTCGTCTGAATGTGTGTACAATAAAGGGTAAAGGTACAAGGACAATCTTTTAGCATTCTATGAGAATACACTATTATCATTTACTTAGATTTATAAGTATTTGAAGTTTACGTATAAAATTTTTTGTCCTCGTCACTACAGTGGTAATAGTTACGAATTTTTCAATTTATAGCTGTTAATTTTAATATAGAAACCAGACGTAATAGATTATTTTTAAGTTTTCCTTTAAGTGCTTGTCACATTAAAATTGTATTTTGTTGTTCTTGTACCAGTATCAGTATGCTGAGCATTGGCAAGCTTTTATAAATAAAATAATCACTTTTTCCTTGATACATTCATCCATAGAAAAGACATACATTTTTGTATGATAACAGCCTAAAATAGTAAGTCATACCAAAAAGTACGAAAACTATGTGTGGTGACCACCAGCTACCGACTGAAGTATTTCCGAACCAATTCGACTCAGAATCCTTCAAGTAAATAGCGCACCAAACGCGTCTGTCGCCAACTGTTTAATAAAAATAATGTTTTTCCGCATTTTACCTACTAATATTTATCAACCTTTAAAATCTATTAACATTTATCTCCTCTAAGTAGGTAATTGAGACATTAAATATCTCTAAACAAACAATACCTAACACGGCGAGAACGTGTAACGCACAAATAAATGTCCGCCAAACCATTATTTCACAAACACATCACTACATTTTCGCTCTATATTAACAATACACTTTTTTCAACTAGTCCAACCTGCCGAAGGTCAGAGCTTCACAAACTGTGACAATTCATTCAAGGTGACAAATTGATGGGCGGCCAATTAGTCATCAACTGTGTTGTTTAATAATCATTGGTAAGGAAGTTGTGACGTAAGTGTGGTTTTCTTTATCGGTTCTAACAAGAAGACTTTGTAAACAATATTTATTTATTTTATTTCTCAACAATTTGTTTCATTACAAATTTGGTATATATGTTTATTACGGAGGCAACCCCTGTAGAGAAAAAGAAATACTAAGGGTAAATTGCAGCGTTGACCTAGTGGCTTCAGCGTGCGGTTCACATTCCTGAGGTTAGGTTCGATCCCGGGATCACTTTACATCCAGATATTGATCCTATGATCCAGATATATCCAAATATATTAATATTAGCTTTTAGTTTTCTTTATTTTGGTTTTATTTGTGTGTCTATATTGTTAACTATATTTTTTTTAATTCAGTTATGCACCCTTAAAAATCAAATAAATCAGAGGCGCTACAACCTTTTTTTTTTGGTCTGGGCCTCAGATTTTTGTATCTGTGTCATGATCATTTCTCACTCTAATAGGCAAGTAGGTGATCAGCCTCCTGTGCCTGACACACGCCGTCAACTTTTTGGGTCTAAGGCAAGCCGGTTTCGTCACGATGTATTAAATGCGCACATAGAAAGAAAGTCTATTGCACATAGTCCGGTGCACCACCATCGAACTGGATGTGAGTCGCACGCTGAAGCCACTAGGCCAACACTGCTCTACATTAATTTAGGCAAATTTACTTCATATTTAGCACGTAAAACAGCATTAAAGGCTTTTTATTATTAAAGAAAATATATTAAAACGAGGCCAATATTTAAAAAATAAAGTTTGAGAATCTGTTGTTTTTTATCATTTTATCTGCATGTTTGTTATCGATGAGGCGTGCGGGCTGATAAGATTTAGTGACGCTATCGCACGAATACAGATAGCGGAGTACCATTGCAGACGAGAGGTTTCAATTAAGTTACTTGAATTAATGAAATATTATTTTAATATTCATTCTAATACTCGTCAGCACACTAGGGCCATTCTTGTCTTGTATAAAGAATATCCGTAGAGCTAAGAAAATTCAAACAAACTGAATGAAAACTTAAATATGGCCGAATATATTTTCAACTGAGTTTCATATACAATTAAAATACAAATCTTCTTTTGTTTATGATTTCTGTATGTAGGCGCTCGGCGAAACTAAAATTCTACTTCAATACGATGTAAGTAGAAACAAAAAAAGATAATACTTTCGGAGCTTATATGAATTATGTGAACAACTTCTAGGCGAATAGAGTGCACATGAATTGTTTTTCAACTTTTTTAAATAAAATGATCAAGAATAAGTCACTCAAAATTGTATATTTATCCCAAAAAAAATGTGGCAAAACAGTTTTAAACGTCACCAATGTTGAGGATTCAACTTGGTTAACGAACAAATATCCCAAAATTAACTTAATTCTGATTCCCGAAAATTGTTACGTATATATATAATATGATAGGTGCACCGATTTGACTCAAATATTAATAAAACCGCAGAAAAATATCTGCCTCCCAGGGCGTAGGCTAGGAAATAACAAATAAATTAAATACTTTAAAATTAATAATCTCACCGGGTGGACAGTCACACAGAGCTCGTCCGTTACTAGTGCGGCATCGTGCGTTGTGTTCGCACGTGTGTCCCGTAGCGCACACGTCCACTTCACGCTCGCAACGACGACCCGCGAAGCCTTCTTCGCACCAACATGACGGAGGCTGTATAAGTATTTAAAGGTCATGTATTATGTTGAGAACTTTTTTAATAGAAAGTCTATGAAAGGGGAGAATAGCGACTCCCCTGATCGCGTGGTTGGTGGGGTATAATTTTTTTTTAAATAAATAAAAAAAAATTAAAAATTGTATTAGTCTTTGGAGGTAAAAATGCATGCGTAAAGATGAAAATTAAAATTTTATATTGAATAACTAAAAACAAAATATAAATGTCTTTACCGATATAGTAGTATTGCATATCCCGTGCTCGCAGTGTTCGATCTCACACAAAGCCTGTTCGCAATGCACGCCCGTCCAGCCCTCCTCGCACGTGCACGTGTAATTATTGCCAGAAGACGCATCTGTACAGTCAATTTTTAAAAATAATGAATATTCATGTAAAATTACGTTCTTATAATTATTATATGTGTGGTTCAATTATCCTTATTAAATGAAGAACATAAAAATTATCACAGAGAAAGTGCAAGAAACAGAAGCAAAAATATGTCTGCAATGATCTGTCGTTGATTAGGAATCGTTATTTTATAAATTTAAAAATTTGTAGTAAAACATCATTCAGGTATTTTTTTAATTCCGTGAACACTTTGTTAACAATTATTTATACAGAGACGAAATTTAAATGGGAAGCTATATGTGTGAATATGTCATACCGTATACATCCGTGCACGTTGCATGAGCGCAAGGGGTATGCGCACACGAGCGATGCTTCGGTCGTTGACAACGCGGGCCGGTCCATTCGGTGCCACACTCGCACTCAAAGGCGCCGGGCAGGTCGATACAACGTGCGCCGTTTGCGCACGGGCTTGTTTCGCATTCGTCTATATCATGTTCGCAGCTGTAAACAAAACATTGGTTGTAAAGAATTTATGAATTTTTTTATTATATTACAAGCAGACCCGGCAAACTTTGCTTTGCCATATAAAACGAGGGTTGGTGGTAGAAGAGTGAAAATTAATGGGTATATGTATTTTTAAATGCCAAAAAAAGATAAAAATTGTCAAAAACGTTGGAGGGGGAATACACAAACACGAATATACACGGCTTGCTTGACACAATATTTAAATCAAAGCAAATAGTTTAATTGAAATTGCAATAGCTTTCGCTATTTCTGAAATACCACTTCTCTTCACATTAAGACAAATCGAAAATTTTATCAATTGTAAGAATAAATTTTGCCTGATTCCAGAAAACAAAAGCGTATTTGTTCGTATTTAAAAGCATAATATAAATTTGGTTAAACGTTGACGGATGAATAAAGATTACAACATTATTACCTTTATAAAATTTAATAAAAATGAAAAATAATTTTAATCAAAGACGAACTGATGTAACAATGATTGATTCGCTTTTTAAATATATAAAAACTACTTACAACACTCCATCATATCCATTCGGACAAAGGCACAAGTACTTGGCAACGTCATCCTTACAAGTCGCGCCATTTTGACATTGGTTATTCTCGCACTCGTCTATATCTATCTGTTAATTAAATTAATAAAAAAATTAGACACAATAACTTTAAATATAGTTGCTTTATTATAAAAATTAAATTAGTACTTTATTAAAACCATCAAATGTAAAAAAACACAATAATAAAACGCAGTTTTTCAATTAATTTAAACAATTATAAAATTGAATTAAATATTTTTAAAATCATTACTAATATTTAATTAAAAGTCGAATATGGCTGGTTCATAAGTATATTTTAGGCAAATTTATTATAAACCGATTGAAAAACTTGGTCTTCATGAAGAAACAAAAAATGGTACCTGGCAGTAATCCCCTGCGTACCCAGCCGGACATGCGCAAGAGTAACTATTTCTAACGTCCTCACAATGCGCTCCACGCTGACATTCTTGCTCCAAACATAACACACAGCCGACACCTTCACTCCAACCCCATGGCGAACCGGATCTACACAAAAATGAAACATACATCCGATTAGGAAAAATTTTTAAAAAATTATATGTACGTCTGATGATAAAGAATAAAAATAATTCTTACAATAACGCGTAATACGGCTGAGCAGCGAGTAGGGCTGCGGCGGCGCCTACAAATAATTCCTCTTCTGTGAAGTATGGTAAGAGCAATCCGCCCACGTGTACCGCGCCGAGACAACCCTGAAATAACCCTAATTTGATTAACAAATATAATACAGAATATACACAGACTGTAATTAAAGTGTTTCAATAAAATCAAACCTAGAAACTGTTTGGCATGAGAAATTCCCAACATACATTCAACTAATAAAGAAATATTTTTACAAGTAAAACTTTGGAGATAATATTTTTTAGGAAGTTTATTGATTAAAACCCGACGAGACAAAAATACACTAAGGGCTATTCAACAAGAGTATGGCCCGTATTCCAAGACAAGTCAAAACCGCTTGAGCACTGTCAAATATGTCAAAGTTCAAATATATATATAAAAAATGGTTTGACAGCTTGAAGTTTGAGTGACGTTTACTACGGGCCTGAGACTCCCGTATGTCAAAAGTATTGGATTTTGATTTAGACACAGAGCTAACCTCTCTTTTCAAAATCTTACCATAACATTAATGGATACAGTATTTATAAAAAAATATTGAAAATTACCTTGAAGTACTCCCCATTAAGATTGTCATCGAACTCATCACCTTCTGAATATTCCCACACTGTTTCCGTCGTATTGTCCGTCTGTTTCACAAAAAGTTTAACGAATTCATACAGATTACATATAAAGATATAATATTTAAAAAAATCTTATCGAAAATGCTACAGTACAATTATTTTCTATAACATTTAGGTACTATATAACAGTACAAACAATACACACATGTGTATCAAATAATAATACGAAATAAATACAAATCTTTACTAATGTTTGAGTTTCTTTGTTTGATTGAACCCGTAAACTACTGATTCAAATTGAAAAATTTGCTACACGAATGTTAATAAAATTGTATAATTAAAAAAAAATAAATGTAAACAATCTAATTTAATAAACTTACCATATAAGTGGTAGCAGTGGGGTGTGGTCGTGTCCTCGCGTGTCCTATTCCTCCGAGGGTTATAACCCCACGGGTGACCAATCGCTGCCAAGCTGCCACGTCAATACTATCTGTGAGGGTAACTTCTTCACGGCCTTCGCCGTCTATGAATGCACCTGGAATAATATATATAATAGTTGAACAACGCGAAATTAATTAATTATTTGCCGGGAATCGAACTTAAGAACGCCACGATATAGAGAATGTATCGTGGCTTAGTTAATGATGTACTTATTAAGAAAGGCAGAATTCATTTGTATTATTATTAATGAAATTTGTTTGTTTGTTAATTTATTCAATTCATTTATTCAATATCAAAAAGAATACATAAAAATGTCAAAAAAAAAAAAAAATATTCTCCCAAATAGTGATCATCACATGACACCGAACAAGCCAATCAAAATTAAAAAGAAAACCAAATTTCAATACCTTTAATCTGTTGATCGACGAAGGTCAGTCTTAACGTTGTCCAATGTAACGCGTCATTGCGCGTGCGCAGCGTACGTAGTGCAGGTAATCCACCAAGACGCCATTGCAAAGCTGCCTGTCCTCTGTACACGCCCACACTGAACCAGGATATACCATTGGTCGTGTTCTTCTCAGAGTCTTGCTCTGACTCGTCAAGTTCTGCGCGGAATAAAGTGCCGCCTACTTTGCTCCTGTTAAAAAAAAAAGATTATATTAATACTTACGGCATTGTATAGAAAGCGTGGATTAAACCTAACTTTTGATATGCATTAGAGATTGATAGCAATTATGTTTATTACTATGAAATTAACAATTTCATGGCATATTTTTTTGTCATTTATATTAACATATAAATTAATATTAATAAATTTCAACGTGCGATGTATCTGGGGTCGGAGGTTCGATCACCAGCTGTGCAGCAAAGAACTTTAAGTCCGTGTGCACATTTAACACTCGCTCGTATTATGAAGGAAAACATCGTAAGGAAACTGGCATGCCTAAGATCCAAAAAGTTGACAGTGAGTGTCAGGCACAGAAGGTTGATCACCTACTTACCTATTAGAAATGATTACAGAACAGATAAAGAAATCTGAGGCACAGACCTAAAAAAAAGGTTGTAGCACCATTGGTATTTATCACACATCTGAATAAAAGTTTTGTGCCCCGCTGTTTCCCAATGGGTTTTTATTTAACACATACTGTGACTGGTGGTATTCTGCATGGTCACACTTTACATAGAATATTAAGATCATACAAAAATAAACTAATATTTACTTTTGACATAACAAAAACACACACACATAAACACACAAAATAACAATAATCAAAGAAAAAAATATAATAAAAAATATAAACTCAAACTCAAAATATCTTTATTCAAGTGGGTAACCAAGTACACTTTTGAATTGTCAAGTTAAATTAATTGTAAATTTACATTTACTACCAGTTCGCAAGTCAAGGGCGTAGAGCGGGTAAGAAGAACTGGCAAGAAACTTTCCGCCACTCTTTTTAATCGCCAAGTATTGTCCAAATTGTTTGAACTGGAGCAAATCAATCCCAAGGATTAGGATCATTTAAGTATTCCTCAAATTTATAAAACGCTTTATTGATTAATTGCCGTTTAACGAGGGCTTTGAATTTATTTAGTGATAATTCTCTAATTTCGCTTGGGAGTTTGTTGTAAAAACGAATACAATTTCCATATAAGGAGTGGTTTATCTTTTGGAGCCTGGTTGGTCGTACACTCAAATTAGTTCTATTTCGCGTATTATACTGGTGAAAGTCATAATGAGAGATATAAAAAAAAATATTTTCCCTTTTCCCATTCGGTTCGTTTCAACTGTGTAATGCGTGTGTGCTGTGCTTGTAATTAAAATAAACAAAGTACCTGTACGTAAGCGTGAGCGTTTGAGGCAGGTCAACGGGCTCAGCGAGTGCGTCCGCTGCGGGCGTACGTAACGTGTACGTTAGCGTCGTGTTCACACCGTCAAATGTCGCGTTCGCTACGCACTCATATCTAAAATATAGATTCATTTACTAAGAAAAAAATTATTATATTTTAATTAATTACTAATCTACACAATAAGGTATTATTTTTTTACTTTTAAATATGGATTTAATTACTTAAAAAACTTAAACAACTGGTAGACTAGCTCCTTCCAGTAACACATAATCTTATCACAGCGTTGTTATACATACACATACTTTAGATTGTTCGATTATCTCAAGAAAATATTAATCTTACTTACCCTCTGTCAAGGTTTCGGCAGTGTGAGTTAAGCGGACAACCCTGCAGCTGACAGAACTCGACCTCATCACATTGCTTTCCTTTGTAACCACGCGGACAGGTGCACCTAAGCAAATTTGGTTTCATTTCAATTCGATGTCATTAGTTTACAGGTTACAAATGTATGAAATATGTTAAATAACATTTGCATCAACATTTTACTAAACAAATTCGTGAAATTTTTGAGTTTATCAATATTATTTTCTAATGTCTGAAAGAGATCTCTTAAAAGAAATAAAGTTAACCGTCGAAGTTCTTTTTTAAGTATTATACTTTCTTAGTTTTTTACATATATATACAAAATAACTTACATATAATCATTCCACGTATTAGTACACGTCGCGTTATGATGGCAGGGCGTAGACGCGCACACGTCATCCGATACTACGCCCTCTAAAACCCCACTGGGGTCGAGCTCCACCTCCCCAAATGGAGGGGGGAGGGAAACACCCTCGACTCGCAAAGGGAAAAATTCCACAATGGTTACATTCAGTCCATTTGATATTTGGACGTCTTGAATGACACCTTTGAAGTACTCGGAATCGTCTGGTTCGGGGATGGGCGCTTGTGTTGTGTTTGGAAGAAGAGTCGATTCGGTGGGCACAATTGGTGTTGGTGGACCACCGAGGTATAGTATCTGTAAATAGTATGCACGGTGTAATTATTTTTTTAAAGCAGTATGACCTGGCTTTAGCTTGCAACTCTCATCCTTGAGGTCGTAGCTTCAAACTCTGATGCACAAATGGACTTTATGACAATGTGTATATTTAACACTCGCTCGTAGCTCGAACGTTAAGTAAACCATGGTGAGGAAACCAGCGTGTCTTAGTCCAAAAAGTTGACGGTGTGTGTCAGGCACAGAACGCTGTTAACCTAATTGCCTATTAGATTAGACGAGCTCACAAAACAGATGCATCAATCTGAGGCCCAGACCTAAAACGTAGCACCACTGGTTATTTTTTAATAATTTTTGATAGGTTAGCGTGATTAAACAATCAAACATAATAGATATTGCTTATGCTGATTAAAAAAGGGTGTGTGTATAAATTATTGTTGGAATCGGAAAATATTTGAGTATGATAAACTATTTTGGCGTGCTAAATTCCGTAAGTCCACAAATATTTTTCTAAGTCATATCAAGATGATCCGTTGGTTTTGTTATTAAAGTCATATTGTAGCTTAGGTTGTTACCTAAGTTTTAATTGAAATCGGTTTTGAGATATATACGGATAAAAATTGTAATATATCGTTTGCAGATCCATGTCTTTTTCAAATGACTTTTATATACTGAGTTTCATTTAGAGAATAAGTATTAGTGCACGTTAGTGTTCAGTGCTAGCCAGTTTTAAAAATAAAAAAGGACAAAAGAACGTTTTTAATATAGATTTGCTTATGTTAAACTATCCTTATTAGTAAATTAGGTTAACCTTAATTATTAATTAGCCTTACTTGAGGTTAGATTAATGTGCGTTAGGTGGTGTCTCAGTGAAATCAAAACACTTTCATGTTCAAAATTGGTAGGAATCAATGCGATCTCTTGTTCTAATACAAAACCTTTTTTATATTAAAATATATTTAAAAAACAAGAAGTTTAGTAAGTACCTGTGCATCAAGTTGCTTAGCAGCTGATATCGACTTCCTAAAGTATTCAGTGCCGTTCAACTTCACTTGTACCAGTGTTGAATTTCGTACCACCTGAAAAATAAAATTACATTTCAGAATTACAACAGGACTATTATTAGTGCAGCTTTCTTAAGCAATAGCAAATTTGCATCTTTTAATCTATTTTAATAATTAAAATCAGTGACATAATAATTAAACTATGTGTTTGAAGATAAGACTAATAATAAAACTGCTTGAATAGCTTATTAAGCTTCCATTATTTTTATGTCAACACATTACTGACACACATAATATAATGAATGCAATGTAATAGTTGAAGAGAGTTCGAGAGTAGGAAATCCCCACGATTATAAAACTAAGAAAGCCTTAGTGAGAAAATGTACATCCTTGGCACTTATTTAATTAAAAATGCGAATTATATGATTAATAAACTTTGATGATGATTTTATAGTGATTGAACTGTGAACTATTATTATTTTCATTCAAATTGAAACCTTGGCCATATTACTGCGAAAGAATAAAATTAACCCCTTATTCATAAAAACTAAATCAACTCTTTTAACTAAAAGAAGAAGAGAGAACCTTTTGTCTCTTTCTGCTCACTTGTGTTTACCATTTGATAGAAAGAGACAGCTGTAATTTAGTTGAAACGATGCAATTCGTAAAACTTTGTATGTATTCCAAAATAATAGTCAATACCTGTATCAGATGCAAGTGTCCGTTATCGAGCCTGGTACCCCCCACAGTGTAATCTTCAGGAGTATGGTTGAACCGCAGATGTACCAACAACTCACCACCCTTCAGAGACGCCGCTACCAAAGTCTCATCGGTACCGCCGTATCTGTAATATATACCATACATAAAATTGAATTGCTGTTCGTTTGTCTCGCTAAAACTCGATAACGGCTGGACCGATTTGGCTAATTATGATCTTGAAATATTTAAGGAGGTTCGGGGAAAAAACCCAAAAAAAAAACAATTGAATTTCCAGAAAAACTTAGTTTTTTTGTTTTTTTTATATGTATGTTTTTCGTATAAGGTAATAAAATGTAAGTAAATAAATACAATCTCTTAAATTTTTTTTATTAGTTTTTGACGCAAATCTATGTAGATGATACGAAGTTCCTTAACAACATGTTTTAGTCATTTAAATATGATTAGTTAATTTATTTCTGGTTAATAATTTATATCTAATTTCTTTTATTATATCCTGAGCTCGCCTAATTGTCAATCAATTATAAGGTCTTCGATTCCTTTATAATAAAATAAAATTAAATAAAAGGTAACTATGAAGAATTACCGATTTCAGTGTCGGTAAAAATTACTTACATATATTATTCTAACTGTAACAGTTGGAATATTTTCGATTAAAATAAAAAAATATCTAAATCTAAGTTTTCGAATTTTTGAAAATACTAATACCTCCTGACCCTCACTTTTTTACGGCGGCTAATAAAAATATTAGTTTTTGTCAAACAAGACTAATCGACAGTTCAAATAAATTTATTTGATTTTATAAAGGTCAAAAATAGCAAGCAGCTATTCTCCCGTCAGAGCCATTAAAATAATGCCATGCGAATCTAAACCAAACACAAAAAACATCTATTAATGAAGGATCAAATATATTCTTGCAGGAAACATTATCTCTGTACCTGCTAGCGCCGGATCCGAGATGGAATATCTGCCCCGTTGGCTTGCGCGTGCGCACGAACATGGAGATGTCGAGTGCCGCGTGCACTGCGCGTCGAGCTGCCTCCGACACGTTCACCACTACCACTGAGTGGCGTCGGGCTGACTCTTGCCCGAACGTTGCCGCAGTGTAATCTTTAAGAAGATAAAAATATTAATTTATATTATATCGAATTAGATGAAAATGTAAATGAAATATATATACATTTCTTTGTAACTGAGAGGAATAGCGCTTATAAAATAACTTTTACCAAAAGTTTAAAATACGGCTTAGGGAGCGTTCAAGAATTACGTAACGAATTTTGGGAGGGGGGTTCCTTTTGTAAAACGTTACGATACGGGGCGAGGAATTACGCGTTATTGTTAGTATTATTTTCGACTTTCAGCACATAATGGTATCTTGAAGGTATAAAGAGTCACTAGGTGATAGCTGTATTTAGGTACAGAAAAACGTTAAGGCGCGTTACATGGGGGGGGCAGCGGTCTGTCAATAATCTCCAAAAATTGCGGGAATTTGTTAAAGTGAATGAATTTATTAAAAATAATCACGGCTTCCTTAAAATTTATAAATGAAACTCACTATACTGGCAAGTATGTCCCAAATACGGCCGGGGGCATGAACACACGAAAGTGGTCCAAGCATCTTCGCAATGGCCCCCAGAGTGACATGGGTTAGGCTCGCACTGCGGGGTTCGGGGGCAGGACGCAAGAACTCCTCTCAACACCACCCTAGGACCTTCATCTTCTTGACCCTCGGGATCCATTTCTGTTTCTGTCTCCTCTGTCTCTTTCTCACCCCAATCTGACCCCACACGTTCCGTGCTGAATTCGGGTACAGTTGTATTCGAATCTTCTGGAAGTACCTGAAAACATTTAAAACCATTAAATAAGTTAATTTTATAGTGTTTTACAAGCTCTAAGTAGAATTGTAGCTATCAATTTGCCTTCTTCTATAGAAAGAAAGAAAAGGAGAAATCACACAATCAATTATAAAACAAAACACAGACAATATAGAAAGCCAAAACAGATTACATAGATAAAGAATATATATGAAACAGAAAACATAAGTAGTATTGATACATCTTCGACTACGGTCTCCAATGCAGGGCTCCGCTTGCCCCTAAAAATCCGCCCATGCCCTCCATGTTGGGTTAAACCACTCGGCTCCGTACAGTCCTACCCCAGGCAGAACACAAATGATTTTTGAAGTGAAACTTCTTTCTTTAGGCGCATGAGGGTAAAATTTTTACAGAACGTGACGAAGATGTGCAGCGTTTTTGTCGAAGAAAAGGGAGAGAGCGATTGAGACCGATTGAGTGAAATAGAAGTGAAATTCTATTTTTAAAATTAAAATTTCGTAAGGAGAATTTATGAAATGTGAGTATTTTATATTTTAGGCAAAATAATTTATTGAAATCTCAAATGACGAATTGTAAATTAAAATGCCACGTGTTTTTACTATCGAAGAAATAAATTTAAAAATTAAATTTATTATTTGTATTAATAAATTTAATTTCGACACTTTCTATCTAAAGTTTTAGATTTGTACAAATATGAACAAGAGTTAAAAATTAGTTTGCCAAAGAAATTTCACTTCTGACCTGTGTACTTTGTACACACGCACTTTTTTTTTAATAACTCTCTTGAACTATGACCGGGACTGATAATAACCGCTGCAATCGCACGGCCCAAGTCCTTTCACAGTCTTCAATCGGCAGCTCAAGTCTGAGCTTCGTGGTCAGCAAAGAAGCATCATCATAATCTGTTTCCACTGGTTTCAGTCCAGCGCCTCTCTTATGACAATGTATAGTTTTGGGGACAATGATTTGGTGGACGGCCATCTGTGTTACCAACCACACACACACAATTCACTATCGGAGTACTTTAGATAACATTTAAAGAAAAATATTCACCCAATGTTGATTAACGACGACATCCTGAAAACATCCAACGAAGAAATTCGGTCCGTGCGTTAACGTTCCGTACGAAGAGCCCGTCGTACCGAGCCGTGTCGACGGAAATGACGTCACCGTAGCGTTGAAGGCTTCATTCTGACTTATCGGGTATATTGTTTGCTCCTCGTTTGCTGATAGCACCACGTGTGACGAGTTGATTGTTACGAAAACCTGAAATAATTTGTTTGTTTTACATTTCAATTACTGTTATTACAATGCAGAAAGGGGCAGGTAATAAAATAAAAAGCTATACTAATAATAATTTAATAAATTTTGGGATAAAATTTTATAAAGAAACAGTTGTTCATTACCCACATATGTAGAAAATTTTGTGCTAAGCCTGAATTTAGATTTATATCTTACTAAATAAAAGTATTAAACAGCAAGTTTAGCTGTTAAGTCAATCAAGGCATTTTAATACAGTTTTCTAGTTATCTTGAATACGCAATTTGTAAGAGATAATTCTTTGTTCACACACGTTTTTAATACAAAATAATCATAAAAATTTTGATCTTAAACTAAATCATAAAATTGTTTATCGAATCCACTTGAACAGACATAAAAAGTTCATCAAAATCGGTCCAGCCGTTTAGGAGGAGTTTAATTACAAACACACGTACAAATTTACATATGTGTAAATAAAAAAATGTTATCAGCCCTTCTGACCACGATTTCACAATAAATATAATTTTGATTCACTAACCTTCTGCCAATTACTATCATTTAAATTGGATCCAATGAAAACTCCCTCCCACTTATTCAATAGACTGGAGTGAAGATTCAGTCTTCCGTTTGACAACTCCAAGAAGAAGTACGTGAGACCTCGACCCATTGCCAATAGACCATTTCCGAGGGTAGTTTTGAACCGGAAAGAGATGTCATAACCTTCTTCACGCGATGTGTTGACTTCCACAAAACTACTCTTTTCCAGAGACATAGTTGTTATCTGTAATATGCAAGATAAGTCTTATTTTTAAACATTGTAATTCAAAAGAAGTATGAAAATAAAAATAAAAAAAATAAAATATGTTTATTATGGAATATAAGATACAGGTATCACCATTCCACTTCATTAAATTGTTACGGTAGACATCCCTACTCATCAGCAAAGAAGACAGAGGGTGTAGGCCGAGAGACAAAAGCCGGTAAAAAACTCTCGGTACTCTTTTAAAATAGCAAATCATCAAAAAACACTTATTTTAAAACAAATATCGCAAATTAATTAGAAGCAGCCTGTCTAGCACTAGTCCCAGGCCCTTTTATCAACTAGATAATCGTTAACTTTATAGTAAGCCTTTTTACACAGCTTCTGCTTTAATGCATTTCTTAAATTTGTTAAAAGGCAGAGATAAAAGAGCCTCTGGGATTTTATTAAAGAAAAGTATCCCTTTTCCCAAAAAAGAATTACAAACTTTAGATAGTCTAGTACGGGGAAATTGCAGCCTGCGTTTGTACCGAGTATTAACATTGTGTGTAATATATAATTGAATGTGATATGCAGAGTCGAGACAGCGCTGAGTATGACTTCAAACTATGACTATGACGTGTACGCATCGAGATTGTAGTCAATCATTCAAGAACAATTGCAGAATGCCCATCTGATGTTAAGTGATACTGCCGCCCATGGACATTGGCAGAATGCTGGCGTTGCCGCCATTGGTAGGCTCTTTTCTTGAAGTCGAATTGGTTCGGAAATACTAAACGCAGGGATTTTTATTAACTTGAAGAAAATTATGACATTCACGACTAGAGGATTCTTGGTTTACTTTTATTTACTGTTTAGTATATATTAACAAAATATTTATAAAAAAATCAGTGGCGCTACAACCTTATTAGGTGAATGGCCTTAGATTTATGTATCTGTTTCGGGATTATTTGACAATCTAATAGGCAAGTAGGTGATCAGCATCCTGTGCCTGACACACGCCGTCGACTGTTTGGGTCTAAGGCAAGCCTTTCCTCACGATGTTTTCCTTCACCGTTCGAGCGAATGTTAAATACGCACATAGAAAGAAAGTACATTCGTGCAGTCACTAGGTCAACACTACTTAACAAAATTATATCTGGTCTAAAGTTTCACATTTATGTGTATATATAAGAAAAAATAACATTACATTTAATAGTACATATCGTATCTAATAAAAAGTGATGTACAAATATGTAAAATTAAAGAGATTTAAAAAAGAAATGTTTTTCGATAAAGTTTGTCTTGAAAGTGTTAAGTTTGCTATGTTTGCTGGAAACCCTCACGGGTATTTTTCATTTCATTTTCCCCAAATCTAACAATTGTATAAAAAAAGTATATAAAAACATTTCATATATCCCAAGTCCCCATATATTAACTAAGTATGAATGCGCTATAAATAACGCGGATGCCAGTAGAGTTTTATGATTTAAGAAACAATCAATTATAAAAAAACGTTTAGTGTTTTTAGATTGTTATCTACCTTTTCACACGTAGTCCCATAAAATCCCGGCGCACACGAGCAGTTGAAGCGATGGTCTGTCTCATTGGCGAGCCAAGGAAGGCAGTTGCCTCTATTAGCACAGGGTGAATCTGCACAGCCTCGTAGTACAACTGAACAGTTTCGTCCACCCCAACCCGGTTCACATAGACACATATACGACGCGTGCCCGTCGTAGCAACGTCCGTGAGCGCATGGCGCGTACCTGTTCGTTCAATTATTTATAACGTAAAAACATAAAAAAGTTGATAAAATATATCCTACAGCAATTTCTGAAATATTTTTATATTAACAAAACAACGAATTTTGCTAAAAAAATTATTCTATGGAGATCCACCAATCCATTTTTTCGATAAATAAGAACGAACTATTCGTAGTACTTTTAAAATGTAAACTAGCTTTAAGTCTAAATGTTTAAGTTGAAAGTTTAAGTTCGCTTAGAAAAAAAAGAAAAAAGGCTTCGAATATATATATATATATTTCTTACAACTCTGAATTAAAATAATTCTTATATGCACTTAAGCAAATCGTCTACTATCTGATAACAGTTACCTAAGGCACTCATCGATCTCAATCTCGCAATGTTCTCCCTCGTACCCGGGCGCCAAAACGAAAGTGGTCCAAGCATCTTCGGGCCCCCAGATAAAGGGACCACACCGGTACTCGCCGATACCGTCCACGCACTTGCCGTGTCCGCAAGGGGACGATTCACATTCGTCAATATTTATCTCGCAACGAGGTCCAGTTGTGCCGGTCACGCAAACACACTCAAAACTGCAAATACATAATCAATATTTATTTATATCTGAGGGTGGAGAATATATATATATTTTTATTCCATTTCATTCTGCGTTTTGCCAAATTCAATTTTATAAATGCATTTTCACATTTAGGATTGATTTTTTTTTATGATTATTTATGATTTTAAAGATTTTATTATGATTTAGTTTAAATAAAACTTATAAAACACAATTATAAAATATATTTTTAATACAAATATAAGTAATTTAAAATAATTGTTATTTTTTAAAAACCCTGATTAAATAATAGAATAATTGAGTAATAAGTGAGTGAAGAAAAATTTGAAATTAATTTAAAGAAATTTTAGCATTTTTTAACCGACTTTATGAGATAAGGTTGAAAACAATGTATTGTTAGTATTGAATAATCTATTTATATAATAAGAAATAATAATAATATAAATTCGCCATTTTGTTGTTCGTGAGGAGAACAGAGGCTGATTAAATTTTGAGATTTTTTTAAACCCGGTGTGGTTAATATCGGTGTATTTGATAGATAAGGGGGCTAGTTATTAGTTTAACTTACCCTCCAGCATTTTCGAGTGAGAACGGCTGATAAAACACTTGTGGTAATAGCATATGCGGCTGCGGACCCACTAGCACGGGTGGAGAATCGGGCGTCTGGTACAAACTTGTATTACTTCGTTCGAGACATATGCCATCGTATTTGCATGGATTACTTTCGCACTCTTCGATGTCGATTTCGCAATTTTTACCTGTAAAAAATGTTTTTATTTATTTATTTATTCGCTTAGGCGTGTGTTAATAATATTTTAATATTATTAACATTTCAAATATTCAAAACAACACTAATCGACGGACGGACGGTGAAGGATAAAATCGTGAGGAAACCACGCGTGCCTTTGTTTCCATAGTTTGACAAAGTATTTGAAGAGGCGGGAAGACTGATTTTGTTTAAGCATAAATTTGAAATATTAAGTATTATTTGTTGTTTTAAATGTTAAATTTCAGTTTCCTTTACATAGTATTAATAATAATAATAATAATAATAAAATATTTATTTGTTTTCTCTCACACAAAAATACATACACAAAATACAAATTTCAGCATTAACAGGCAAAATCTGTGTGAGAGACTGGCGACTGTACTAGGATACCTGTATTACAGATTGCCAGTCCCTCCGCATCCGGACCGAATGGAATTTAAGTAGGTACATCAATTTGATCGAGAGACTATTACAAATATTACAAATATACTCACATTTAAGTGGGTGTGTGTGATGGTGCATGTATGGTTTAGTGTATGTAAGTGTTAATGTATGTATGTGTTAGTGAATTTATGACTTAGTGTATATATGTCTTAGTGAAGCATATATGAGCATGGGTGATAGTGTACCTATGTACTCGTATACATAACGTGTTAGTGTTAGGTATTAGCTGAGGACTACTAACAACTTCTCAGTCCCCTCGTAGTCTAGATTTTTAAGCCATTTGACTGTGGCTTTTTTACACTCATATTTAGTAAGCGGATATATGTTGATCAACCTGTTTATCTTGTTATATAGGTGACAGCCCATAAAACCAAAAAAACCTTCTTGAGAAAGCTGTGGACCAACGGGTATCTGAGGTGCAGACTTTATATTTGCATCGTTTGTTGTCATTCAAAGAAGGATCATAGCGAGTTATGGAGTGTTGTTTGAGCACAGTGTTCAGTATAAATAGTTGACGAACACTCAACACGTCAGATAAAAGATATAGATCTTTGGTAGGGTAAAAAAATGGTTTAGAATAACTTACTTTCAATAACGCACGCTGAGCCCTCTCCAGTTTTATAAGATTAGTTTTACAAGCCCCTCCCCAGACAGTAACACAATAGCTTAAAACGGATTGGCAGAGGGATTGATAAACCATTTTAATTATCGATTTTTCAGCAATATTACGGAGATTCTTAAAGGTGAAGATAAGTTTCCGAGTTCGCGATAGTAGCAGGTCAATGTGGTAGTTAAACTTTAGCGTGCTATCAACAACGACACCTAGATACTTAGTATTGTTGGCAACAAAGATCTTTTGACAGTCACAAGAATCAGTATCAGAACATACATGAGCAGTTAAACCAAGGTTAGTACTAGAACCAGGAGTTTTTATATAGAACGGTATACATTTAGTTTTATTGACATTGATAGTTAGGGCATTCATTCTGAGCCATTTGTTAACAACGTCGAATCCTCTTTGAGCAATGTCGACAGTATCTTTCCAGCTATCACCATGAAACACAAGTGCAGTATCATCTGCAAATGTTATTATTTTACCATTTTGTAACTGGAGGTCACAAAGATCATTGATAAATGCCAGAAACAGTGTCGGACCTAAAACACTACCCTGTGGCACACCATAGCGTATCGGCAAATCGTCACTAACAATGTTGCCCACCCTTACTCTTTGCTGTCTATCACTCAAGTAGCTATCAAATAGTTTAAGCTGCAAACCACGAATACCCAAAGCCTCCAATTTATCCAGCAGAATAGGACCAGCGACCGCGTCAAAAGCTTTTGCAATGTCCAAAAATACAGCTAAAATTTTATTTTTCTTATCTAGTTTTGTAACAATATGATCAGTTAATTGATGAACTGCGTCGCTTGTTGATGAACCCGGTCTGAATCCAAACTGTGAGCTGGAGAGTAGGTTATTACTTTCTAAATAATCGATGAGGCGTTTGTTTATCAATTTCTCAATGATTTTGGATAGCGTAGATAGTTTAGAAATAGGTCGGTAGTTACCGACACAATCTCTATTACCACCTTTATAAACCGGAATTACTTCAGCTAGCTTGAATAGGTCCGGAAAGATCCCTGTAGAAAGAATCAAATTAAATATATATGTAAGTGGAGGGACTAAGATTTCATGATAACGTTTGAGAAAGGCTCCAGAAATATTATCTCTGCCCGCAGCACCGTCCTTCTTCAGTTGCAAGATAAGAGATTGAACTTCAACTACATCAGTAGGTAGCATGACGAATGAGGACAGTGTAGGATTGATTGATGGTTTGTTATAAGAGCTACTAGAATATGCTTTTTCGGCAATCTCTTTCCCGATAGAAACGAAATATTTATTAATGTTGTTGACAGAGACCATCGGGTCCAGTGGAGAGACCAATTCAAGTGCAGTGCTAGTTGTATTGTTGGAGTAGGTTAGTTGTTTGATAGTGTCCCAGAGAACTTTTGTATTAGTCTTAGCAGCTTTAAGTAGGCGGTTTCTCTCATAAGTATTTTTAATATTTTTTAAAAGTGAGTTGCAAAAATTTCTATACCTCTTGTAAGTTAACGTTAATATTTCGTTACTAGGATTTTTTCTTGATTTTTGATGTAGTTTGTCACGATGCTTTACACATCTTAGTAGACCTGCAGTCATCCATGGCCTCTTGATCCTTTTACGATTTGGGATGGTTAAAGTTTTCGTATTTGCTTTAATTACAGTGTCAAGCGCAGTCAGAAGAAATGCTGTTGCCTCATTGGGATCAGTCATTTTATATACAAGGCTTAGGTTTAAGTTCTTCATAGCATCGTCCAAAGACGGGTAATCAATCTTTTTCAGAGAAGAGTATTTGTCAGTCATAGTGCTACGTTCAAGTTTCAGAATTAAAGTGTCGTGATCCGTGACTGAGGTTTCAGCAACATAACAGAAGACGCGATAAGAACATTTTAGTATTACATGGTCAAGACAAGTCCTGCCATGAGTTGGAAATAAGTGGGCTGGCAATAAACCATGAGAAGCCAACATATTCAAATACGTTGAAGAATTAACATCCTTATTGTTATCCAATATATCAATATTGATATCACCTATCAGAACTTTATGAGTACTACTAATCTCAGAAAGAAGTTTGTCAAGAGATACCAAAAACCGTTGAACATCTTTATAACCAGGTGGTCTATATACTGCAATTAGTGTTACATTATCCTCAAGGTTAATCAGTAAACAGTTGGCATCACAAAGGTCAGGCTCGGATATAACTAATTTCAAATGTTCTTTGTAAAATACTACAACTCCTTCATTCTGTGTGAAGTTTTTCTCGGTTAGAGCAGAGTTGTATCCCTCAAGAGATGGTAAGTTACGATTATTATGCAGCCAACATTCCGTTAAGATTATTAAGTCCCAATCAGTCCTGGATCTAAACAATAAGGTTTGAAAATCAGAGAAGTTACGATTTATACTACGAATGTTTTGATGGATAATTTTTAGACACTTATTCGGGCAGTTCATAAGTCTCCGGCAGTCCTCTATGTCACAAAGAGAAGATTGTGCAACATCAAGTTTATCGATATCATTTATAATTGCATTAGTTTTATCGAATTTTATTTATTGAGTCCGCAACTATGGTAAGACAAAAAGGCACGCGGTACAGCACAACCCTACGAGGATTCCACAATCCCGGGGACAACGCCACACAAATGAGACCAACACAATACACATACACACGGCACGAAGACAGACAGAGATTGTTGTTAACAGTTACATTCTTTCTATGAGTACACTTTGTATATATTGAGTGTAAGTGGTGTATAATTTCAGTGAGTGTGTGAGTATAGGTTAAAATAAGTGCAAGAGCAAATACAAATTCAAACGAAAATACATTATAGACTAAACGAGAACTTAACATGAAAAAATTGACTAAGGTAATTTTATTACTAGCAAGACTAAAGTAAATCAATAGAAATAAATAACAATATACAGTTAATTGGCAATATAGGTTAATGAGAAAGCAGTTACATGCAATGAGTCATGATTCCTTTGCCAGCTGAGATAAGCATTTTTCTGATTGGATTAAAATCGGTCTACCAGTCGAATCCTTACGCAAAAGTATTCTTCCATTTGAATGCCAGCACGAGTAGTTATTGTTTCTTGGCAAATTGACGGGTTTCAAACATAAGTTTTCTTTGAGATGGACCTAGATGTTCGTCAATGTAAAGTGGAGTCTTTATTCCTGGCAACCCGATAGTATGAGTATTGAGCTTCTCAGAAACCGGCCTTCCTTTGTTAAAGTTTCGCAGCTTAGTCAATAAATCATTTTTAGCATTAACACTCGTAAATTCAACAACAACAGGTCTTGATACTCCCGGTCTACCCGGCAGCCGATACAAGTCACGTACATCACTCCTATTTATATCGACATCCACAGCTTTGCCGATGACAGAAAGGGTCGAGAGTAAGTTGTCAAACTTTTCATTTTCAGAAATCGGGATATTGCGGATCTCCAGAGATGCATCTCTTGTACGAAACTGTATATCCTGGATATGCGATTCTAAGTTTTTTATGGCATTTTTATTATTTTTTTTGGTTAGTTTCAATTTCCTTTACTCTGTCATTGGTCTCCTCCTGAAGCTTGTTTATAAATTCTATTCCTTTTTCTATTTCTGAGTTAGACTTCTTTATTTCCTGGAATTCAGTTTTTATATTGGATAATTCAGAAAATAATTTGTTTAAGGTGTCATTTAGAGTGGACTTCCATTCACATAGGTTTCGTTCTTGATCCTCTCTCCATTCAGAAAGCATTTTCAGGACATCCGCTCTTAAGTCGCTACTTTCGGAACTAGAATGAGCATTCGGGGAAGAGGTCTCCATTCGTTGTCGCTTGGAGCGCGTTGTTATATTGGTGTCACCCTTGGCAATACAGCCCGCACTCGTCATCGGAGACTTCGAAAGATCAGACTCCGATCGGGAACAAGACATCACAGAAGTGTTACGAGGGGGTGAGTGTTGGATATTGGGCATATCTTCAATGAACCCAGAGTTCAATATCGCAAAGCAACAATAGACAATCGCACCAGTTGATCGTAGCAGGTATAACAGCTATGTAGTAACGTAGCAAATCACAAGCGTCGTAGTCTTACTTACGTCATTAGCCGAATGTGATGTAGAATTTCGACTCGCCGGCACTCAACCGTTTGGTGTAATGGCAAACAACAGCGCCCACCACACAGTCTATCCACGAAGAGGCACGGGTTCAAAACCACAAAGATCCAAATAGTTCAATTTAGTATTTTAATTTAAGATTTTAAATTTAAATTTCTCACAAAACTCAACACAGTGGACACGTCCAAGCGCTTCCGCGGTCCGGAGGGGAGAGAAAAACAAAACAATTAATAAGTACATTACATAGTTTTGTCTATTAATGTACTTATTAATTGTTTTCTGTTTCGTATGCTATATTGTTTATCTATGTAATCTGTTTTGGCTTATGTATGTTAGCTGTAAAATTACTTATAATTAAATAAATGAATAGTTACCATCTATATAAGTTTAGCTTCTAAGTTTACCAAATTATAAATAAAATATCACATACCAGTAAATCCCGGATGGCACATGCAATGATAATCATTTAGGTCGTCTATACACGTGGCTGCATTCCTGCAAGGTTGCGGCGCACACTCGTCAATATTAGTTTCGCAGGTGGGTCCATTATACCCGGTACCCGTACAATCACATGTGAAACTGTTAACTCCATCAGCACAGTAGCCGCCGTGAAGACACGGTTCAGACTGGAAGATCAATTACTGGTTAATGATTTACTCCTTTACCAAATCGGACAAAGGGCTGACACATACACGAAGGAGCATCTTGATATATATTAAACATACGTAGTTTTTAAGAGAACTGATTTCTATTTATAGTGACGGCGATTTTTATTTACAACGGGCGAACAGCCAGGAGGTACACCTGATGTTAAGTGAAACCGTATAGATAGTCATATTGCCAGAGGGCTTTTAAGAATTGGTACGCTCTTTTCTTGAAGAACCCTAAGACTAATTGGTTTGGAAATACTTTAGTGAGCAGGTGGTTGCGCACCACCAGCGCATCGAAAAAAACTGCCTTAAAAAAGCTCAGTTGTGGAACGACGGACGTCTCGGAAAGTGACTGATCGTCGACGATTCGAAACGCTCTTCGCTGAATACGCTCAAGTGGAAGGAGCTGGTACTGGGGAGCTCCCGCCCAGGTGAGACCAGTACTGCCTTTGTTTTGAGGGACAAAATTAATTTGACATACCTCACAATCGTCAATATCGATCTGACACCTGGCTCCAGTGAGTCCTTCGGGACAGAGACAGGAATAGCTCGCTATCCCGTCCACACACGTCGCACCCGCCGCGCACGGGTTCGTCGCGCACTCATTTATGTTTATTGAACAGTCTTTGCCTGTTAAACAAATAAAAAAATCAATGAAGCTTTTGTTACTAAAAAGAAGTTTCTTGGAAGTATTAAAAGTAATTAAGAAAATATATAAACATATAGTTTGTTATGTTAAACTATTTTTTTTTTTTCGTTGAAGACATACAGACATAACATTTATTACTAACAAATAAAAAAATCAATGAAAAGCTTTTGTTACCAAAAAGAAGTTTCTTGGAAGTATTAAAAGTAATTAAGAAAATATATAAACATATAGTTTGTTATGTTAAACAATTTTTTTTCGTTGAAGACATACAGACATAACATTTATTACTAACAAATAAAAAAATCAATGAAAAGCTTTTGTTACCAAAAAGAAGTTTCTTGGAAGTATTAAAAGTAATTAAGAAAATATATAAACATATAGTTTGTTATGTTAAACTATTTTTTTTTTTTTCGTTGAAGACATACAGACATAACATTTATTACTAACAAATAAAAAAATCAATGAAAAGCTTTTGTTACCAAAAAGAAGTTTCTTGGAAGTATTAAAAGTAATTAAGAAAATATATAAACATATAGTTTGTTATGTTAAACTATTTTTTTTTTCGTTGAAGACATACAGACATAACATTTATTACTAACAAATAAAAAAATCAATGAAAAGCTTTTGTTACCAAAAAGAAGTTTCTTGGAAGTATTAAAAGTAATTAAGAAAATATATAAACATATAGTTTGTTATGTTAAACTATTTTTTTTTTTCGTTGAAGACATACAGACATAACATTTATTACTAACAAATAAAAAAATCAATGAAAAGCTTTTGTTACCAAAAAGAAGTTTCTTGGAAGTATTAAAAGTAATTAAGAAAATATATAAACATATAGTTTGTTATGTTAAACTATTTTTTTTTTTTTGAAGACATACAGACATAACATTTATTACTAACAAATAAAAAAATCAATGAAAAGCTTTTGTTACCAAAAAGAAGTTTCTTGGAAGTATTGAAAGTAATTAAGAAAATATATAAACATATAGTTTGTTATGTTAAACTATTTTTTTTTTCGTTGAAGACATACAGACATAACATTTATTACTAACAAATAAAAAAATCAATGAAAAGCTTTTGTTACCAAAAAGAAGTTTCTTGGAAGTATTAAAAGTAATTAAGAAAATATATAAACATATAGTTTGTTATGTTAAACTATTTTTTTTTTTCGTTGAAGACATACAGACAACATTTATTACTAACAAATAAAAAAATCAATGAAAAGCTTTTGTTACCAAAAAGAAGTTTCTTGGAAGTATTAAAAGTAATTAAGAAAATATATAAACATATAGTTTGTTATGTTAAACTATTTTTTTTTCGTTGAAGACATACAGACATAACATTTATTACTAACAAATAAAAAAATCAATGAAAAGCTTTTGTTACCAAAAAGAAGTTTCTTGGAAGTATTAAAAGTAATTAAGAAAATATATAAACATATAGTTTGTTATGTTAAACTATTTTTTTTTCGTTGAAGACATACAGACATAACATTTATTACTAACAAATAAAAAAAATCAATGAAAAGCTTTTGTTACCAAAAAGAAGTTTCTTGGAAGTATTAAAAGTAATTAAGAAAATATATAAACATATAGTTTGTTATGTTAAACTATTTTTTTTTTTTCGTTGAAGACATACAGACATAACATTTATTACTAACAAATAAAAAAATCTATGAAAAGCTTTTGTTACCAAAAAGAAGTTTCTTGGAAGTATTAAAAGTAATTAAGAAAATATATAAACATATAGTTTGTTATGTTAAACTATTTTTTTTTTTCGTTGAAGACATACAGACATAACATTTATTACTAACAAATAAAAAAATCTATGAAAAGCTTTTGTTACCAAAAAGAAGTTTCTTGGAAGTATTAAAAGTAATTAAGAAAATATATAAACATATAGTTTGTTAGGGGGCGTCCATAAATTACGTGAGGTGTTTAAGGGGGAGGGGTCAAGCCAAATCTCATTTAATCTTACGTTGGAGAGAGGGGGGGTCTCGGCAAATATCACGCAATTTTTTTTCTCTGATTGAAAAAAAATTTAGGAAAACGGTTGACCCTAAAGGCCATCTCTGCAACTTCCCGCTAACTCCATAGTCCATACCTAAACGCTCAACATTTCACTTATTTTGTTTTTGAGCTCTTCGAGCCCAAAAGTACGATTTCTGTGTTATTTTGAGTTCTCCGAGCTCAAAGAGATATATCTTTATGCACTATTTTGTGAATTTTCAAACCGCAATAACTTTTGAATAAATGACCGTTTCTTTAAAAAAAACTCCGGACTTTAAAGAGCATGACGGAAAGTCATTTGTTCCATTTCTAATACGCCACTGCCTACCGATTCAACCGCTGAATGCCTTCATCAGCATGCCTTATGATCTCTATTGACCAACTATACGTGATGATTTAGAGAAAAGATGCTGCAGTACATGCGGTATTTACTTTGCATCTAGCTGCAGAGCACAGGCGATCAGCCCACATTGCACCAGCTAAGCAAGCGCGTATGTTCCGCAGTGCGACCTTCACGGATTGTCACAAGACGAGCTAATGAGTTACTGTGTGCAAGTGCCAATGGTTTATTACTGAAAATCATATGGACATGTTGGTTCCATGTCATATTGATTACTCGTCTTAACTAGTCGTAAATAAAAGCACGAAGCAATTTTTTTTTCTTTTATAATAACTATCCGACGCGTTTACGTAAGAAACCCACATTTTGAAAAATCTCACGTGAGATTAGGGGGAGGGGAGGGGTTGAATAAAATCTCACGACATCTCACCAAGGGGGAGGGAGGGTCAGAAAATTAAAAAAAACACCTCACGTAATTTATGGACGCCCCCTTATGTTAAACTATTTTTTTTTTCGTTGAAGACATACACACATAACATTTATTACTAACGAAACACACAAAATATTATAATAATAATAATTTTAAAAAATTAAAGAAAGAAAAAAAAGGAATATGGTACAAACATTTTATACGTTAAGTTTTAAATAAAATAAGTTTTCAAATAATGAGAGGTCAACCTCCTAATTCACTTCCAAGAATATAACACCGTTATGCGTCATGGAAATAAAAATAATGACAATATTATGCACATACATAATTATATATGTACCGACCTTCAAATATTCTAAGACTTGTTATGCTAGCCTCTAGCTTGGGAACAATGTACTAAGAATAGGCTTAGGTTTCCATATTAATTAATGACTTTTCCTTTTATGTTTTTAGAAAAATAATAAGAGAAAATAATCATATTTTTATGATGCTTATTCTACATAACTAAAATAACTACAAATTTGCTATGGTGTTAAATTTATTGACCAATTTTTTCTCAATTTAGTGAACACCTATTTTTAGTGGGTGCGTTGCCGGCCTTTGATTGAGGAGTACACTCTAAGAATATGTTGTATGAGAAAATAGGGTTTTTAGTTAATTACATTTTCCTTGAACTATTACGAAAATTGGCATAACGTTTTTTGTATGTTGTATACTAAATAAGTAAATATTTTGTTTAACAATAAGATTATTTTATTTATTAATTTAATAGGGATTTATAATTTATAATTTTTGTATCCCATTGCAAGTAATGCTGAACGGGAATAATTTTTTGTCTAATATGCCTATTGGGGATAGGGCAGATCTGCGGATATTATATTTTTGTAGTTATATATTAGATATAGATTTTGAAAGTAAGGTATTTTCTGTACCTACCAACCAGAAACTAATTGTTTTGCAGTGGATCGAACTCATTATAAAAAATTGTTTTGCCGAGGATCGAACCAACTAAAATGAACTGAACAAGCATGACCACTACGTTAATCAAAATTTAATCCTAAAACAAACACCCATTTTGATAGAAAAGAGATACGACTACTTTGGTTAAAATATTGCTTTGTGTATAAATAAATAATTGAACAAAGAGTGTAATAATTGATTATATTATTTGACCGACCTTCAAATCCTTCCACGCACGTACACTCGTAATTATTTTCGAGATTCTGACATGAACCACCATTCTTACAGGGCGTAGATAGACATTCATCTATATCTTGCTCACAACTATCACCCGTGTAACCTGAAATAATAATAAATGCTCAATTAATCAGGAAATCTATAACAGTAAATAAAACTTCCAAAGACTACTACAGAACTTACCTGGCTTGCAGTAGCACTGGTATGAACCGGGGACGTTTACGCACACTCCGTGGTTGCATATCTTCGGCATAAGAGCACATTCATCTATATCAATCTCACAAAATCGACCTAAAATAAAAGTAAATACAATTTTAAATTTTGTATTACCAGTTCGAAATTTTTCTACAAAAAATATTAAAATGGTATAATTTAAAGTCAATTATGTAATTTTTATAGTTTTTCTAATTTAGGTAAACAGAAATGTAACGCTGTTGTTAATTTTATAACATTCATTTATCAATACAACATATGTTGAAACGTAATAAATAACCACAAACCTTTAAAACATAACCATATTAACAAAAGAAATAATTCACAATTCATTGGAAAAATATTGTTTAAGCGGGAAATAGTAATATGTTGACCGCATTTGCAGTAAAGAAGCTGTATCAGTTTACATATTGTTCGAGTTTACACAAGTGATTCGTGAGTGAACAAGAAGTGTACAAATGAATCATTACTCATGAGAACTGTACATCATTATAATATATGACGAACGTTCGTTTAGGTTACATGCCGTAGTAGATCGGAATATAGTTTTATTAAAATTAAATTACCATTGAAGTTAATATTGTACTCTAACATAACAATAGAACTAAAGATTTAAAAAGTATAAAAGCATATATAAAAATGCGATTTATTAACCGAATTATATACTTCGGAAAGTAGATATTATTTTAGTGAGAATTAAATTTTAAGTTTACCGCGTAATCACATGTGTCAGTCTATTGTCTATTCTCTAGAAAATTAAATATAAATTGTCAACTGTTATTAGTTTACGCTAGACAGTTACCAACCCATAAAATAAAAAATACTCTAGACAGCTGACAGTAACTGTGAGTAGTGACTGAACAGTGACAGTACTGGATAAATTTAAGAATGAAAAATCAAAACATTCCGTAATCCGTATCGTAATGATTGTGTATGCTTGTTTATTTATTTTATAGGAATTTTAATTAATAACTACTACTAAAAATTACCAATCCATGTGTATATTCTCTACTAAAACCAAGTGATGCAAGTGTGTCAGGAAAATATAACGCGATGCTTTATTTATCGCGAAATCTTTTGAGGTTATGTCGGAAACAAAGAACTTTCGTTAATTTTAACCATACAGAAGCTTCTAACGAGATTATATCCAATAAAAATAACGAATCGACGAAGCACGGAAAAGACTTTAAGATTATATTGACTGAAAACAAAGAAAAAATTATATTTAACTCATATTTAGAGCATGAAAAGCTTGAACTGGGTTACTTCAAGTATCATTTGAAAACACTCGCTAAAGCAAAAAAGTATCAGACAGAAGAATTTAGAAAGAAAACTTTACAACCTTTACCTATATCTTTAAAATATTATGTTAACAGTGACAAATTATTGCAAGAAAAAGTTGTGGAGGATCTATCTGATCAGACCTCTGTATTTCAATTACCATTTGCAAAAACTACTCCAGTTGAAATACTAGAGGAAAGAGTCTTACTAAAAGATGAACCTATTGATGAAACTAAGGAATATGATCAATCAAATATTAGCAAATGGATGACCAACTATGAACACTTTGATGATACTAAGCTTTGTGAGGATGAAGATGAATTACAAAATGACTGGACCAAACAGTATGGAACACCGGACCCAACAAGCACTATTAGCAATGTTGGCTGCGGTGGTTGTGGTGCATTACTTCATTGTAATGATCCTGCTATCCCTGGATATATTCCAAGTGAAATATTTAAGGGTCGTTCAGTTGAAGAACTTCGAACAATTGAATGTCAAAGATGTCATTTTCTAAAAGAATACAATATTGCATTGGATGTTACTGTCCAGTCGGAAGAATATGAAAGACTCCTCCAATCTATAAAGTAAATCATTTATTTTATTTACAATTGAATTAATTGTTATTTAATTATTCTATATACAAATTAATTATTGTTTCAGATATGTTAAGTCCTTAGTTTTACTTATGGTGGACATACTTGACTTTCCATGCTCTATTTGGCCTGGTATTGTAGATGTCATTGGCAAAGATAGACCTATATTCATTGTTGCAAACAAGGTATTTAATAGTTTATTATATATAACCTGACTTTGATATTTACATAAAATGCTTGATTTAAGATACTGAAGATTATATAATTCAAAGAAAGAATAATTATTGAATCAGTTTAATTTATTTATGTGTTAAAAGGGTGTTTGTTATGCACTCTTACTATGAATTATTAATTGATCTAAAGATCTAAATACTTCTTATTTAAATGTTTTATTATTCTAGGTTGACCTTATTCCTGGTGACAGTATTGGTTATTTAAAACGGATCAAAGAATCTTTAATGTCTGAAATTAATAAAACAAAGCTGGCCGAGGCAAAAATACGTTATGTGGGTTTAATATCTGCCAAGACTGGTTATGGAGTTGAGGATCTTGTCACAGCTATGTTCAAACATTGGTTGTATAAAGGTGATGTGTTTCTAGTAGGCTGTACGAATGTAGGAAAAAGTTCACTATTTAATGCTCTTTTACAGTCGGATTACTGTAAGGTTCATGCTGTTGATATAGTGAAACGGGCAACAGTCAGCAGGTGGCCTGGTACAACACTCAACCTACTTAAATTCCCCATCAATAGACCATCTGCATGGAAACTCTCAAAACGGACAGAAAGACTTGAAACTGAATCACATCTTTTAAAAGTTGAAAGGGAAATAAGAAATGGACAAGTTAAAGGACAAAGGTATACTGAAGCTCCATCATTAATGGGCCATATTGGAAGGACATTTGCTGATTATGAATATCTTCAGGAGAATGTCTTGGAGAAGAAACAGCCACTCACTGTTTTAGATGACAAACATGAACTGTTCTATAAAAGTAAATGGCTTTATGATACTCCAGGTGTGATTCACCCAGACCAAGTTCTACCACTTTTAAGCACAGAGGAATTACTTTTGACTGTGCCCAAAAAACTTATTAGACCTCAAACATACTACTTAAAAAAAGGCTGTTCATTCTTTATTGCTGGTTTAGCAAGAGTTGACCTTGTAGACTGCGCAGCACCTTGCCGCTTTACCATATATTGTTCTGAACGTTTACCAGTAACTGTTGTTAAAACAGATGATGCAGATGAAGTGTATGAAAAATTTATTGGTACAGAGCTATTTGCTGTACCAACGGGGGATTTAGAAAGACTGAACAAGTGGCCAGGGCTTAAGAAAAAGGATGCAGTCATAGAGTTTACTGGGGAAGGACTAAAAACTTGTTGCGGGGATATAGTACTTTCTTCAATAGCGTGGGTTTCAGTGACAGCAAAACCTAACACCTTTTGTGAGGTGTCTGCTTGGACTCCAGAGGGCAAAGGAATACATAAAAGATACCCTTCATTACTTCCATTTGGTATTCAACTGAGAGGTAAACGCATTCAAGACACACCAGCATATAAAGTGGGTAATGTTTTTGTAGAATAGATTTAAGATAATAAAATTAATACATATTTATATATGTTTCTTTTTACCCTACAAGCAACTGATGTTAAATACACAAAACAAAATAGAGTTTAAGGACATGTGGCTATAATAATTAATTTAAATCTTTCAAAATAAATGAAAAAATATTGTACAGTTTTCACGGCTATAGTGGAAGTGAAGGAACAGTTAGTATAGCACTTACCAGTATGTCCAGGCTGGCATTGGCATCGGAACAATCCATTGTCTAGTGCCAAACATGTGCCATTGTGACAGGGTGAAGAGGAACATGCCGATTCAGCGCTGGCAGCTGCACAACGCCATGTTCCACTTTGTTCTACACACTCCTACACCAACATAAGAATTATTTTGGTATACTTTCTATTCGGGTTATTTATTTAGTAGTTTTATGAAGTAGCACTTGTTTCACCACGGACAGACATATTAGTTATACTGTGTGGGGATGCAGCGTATTTCAAAGCGAAATAAGTGACAAGTGGTAATCAGAACGAAAAAAATTAAATTAATTGATAATCAAATTACTGGATACTTGAAAATAATTATATAAGGAGTTAATTGTGTAATTTGACAAGCCATTACACGCTACAATTACTTGGCTTAAGCCTGTAAATATGTCAGAAACCAACCACAAAAGAGAACGACAAGTAATACAATAATGTATTGTTAACTCAAAATAATATTAGTAAATAATGTTATATAAAAAAAAAATTATATGACATTTGCATGCCTATTTATATATGGCTGATTGTGCGGATTTTTCTTGTTGTTCGATCTAGTTGTACCACTATCTTGGCAAATAAACGATTTATTATTATATAAAAACTTACCTGCCGATGCGGACAAGGCGAAGCCCTACAGTCCAAGGTTACTTCACACTACGGACCCCCAAAACCTGGACGACAATCGCACTCAGTGCCGCGACATGCCCCCCCATTGGCGCATCCCCGACCACAATCACCAGCAAGTGAAGGGGTCATATTTACTTCACATCGTGCCCCCGTCCAACCCGCCTCACAATCGCAACGGAATCCGGTTGGCTATAGAAAATTATTTTACGTAAAATCATACTAACGAACATACGGTATATGAATAGGCAATAGTCTCAATTACTCAAATTTTATATTGAGGCCGATTTAGGTCATAATGTGTACTAAATATTTACTTTAACAAGCATTCTTCCTTCATATTATATAGAGTATTTACGTTTTTTTAATATTTAATGCGACGTAAAACAGTTATTTCTGGGTGTGTTAGAATAATAATTTCTAAATCATCCTTGTGTGGATTACAACTCCATATTATATTATATTGTTTTATGAGTAATAAATGCAGAATTATTAATCAAGCAGATATCAAATCAACTTACCGTATCGCGGCAACCCGTAGAATGGAGGCAAGGTACGGAGGCGCAACGCTCGACTTTTGGTTCCGATAAAGCTTTGCCCGAAGGCCCCACCTCGCAGTACATACCTACAAGACGTATTCGATTACGCACAACGGACCTATTGAGCGTCTAAGTGGGGCAACTTAGTCCACAAACCATACATATTTGATTAATAATGCTATTTTAAATAAAGTAAATACTGTTGATCTTAGGAAAAAAAGTGTTATAGAAAAAGCCATTCCATGTTATGCGAAAAAATCTAACATGCAAATTGCATCTTTACTCTGAAAATACGAGTAGGTAATCCTCTCATGACAAGTAAGTTTTAAGTTTAAAATTAATTACCTTAATAAACTAAATCACATTTAGAAACATAAGCAAACGACACATACACAACAAAACTGAGTCGTGACGAGATCGGTTGGAAAGCACAACGATGCCACTATTGACATCTTCAAAAGCACACACAAATATACATTAACATTTCATCCGTATATTTTACTAACGGTCTAAATACAAAATTAAATATGTTTACCGTCCATTAGTAAAATATTGAAATTGAAAGCAGCAGTCGTTACCAGTTACAACATCAAAAACCATCGAGATCTATTGATCACACGTAATACCTTATTGTTAAAAGTTGGTCCCAATAGAAAAAGTGCAAATGTGTTGCCTATAAGCTTCGTGAACGCTGCCTTGTGCTGGACTCTATATTAGGATATAATTTGTACAATAGCGTGTATTCGAGATTATAGATTTTAGTTTTAAAAAGCGTTTAAATGTATATATCTTAGTACAATAGTAGCCACCAAATTCCCATAGGTTAATTCTATTAAGAACTACAATATAGATTCGAAATATTCCCAATCATAAACAGTAAAGTTTGAATAGTCCATCACCAGACTTCTTAAACTAATATTATTACTTCCAAACCTTTAAAGACAATAGTCCTGACACTAGTTTTTTATTACATTTCATTCCAAATTCAAAAATGAATCCAGATTTAATTAACAATCAGAGCATTTTAAACGAAAAACGAAACGATAGTGCGCTACGTTTGATTGTGATTGGTCAACAGAAAAAAAAAACGTTCGTTTTACATTGTCACCCCTCAACTAAATAAAACCAAATTTTATGTTATTCATGAAATTTCATATAAAACGTTATTAGAAGATATCCAGTAGATTAATTTATATTTAATTGTTTTCGATCTTACCTCTATAAGGCGGCGGGCAAGTACAATTAAAGTGTTCTGGTGTCCTGGTGCAAGTACCACCGTTCTGACAGACTCCGCTCTCACAAACGCTTTCCAGAGTGCTGCAGTTTGGTGATACACCTGGAGCACCTGCATATAAATAGTTTAACCTTTAACTTCGTTATTATTTGGATTGCGTATAGATTTAACTATTAAAATGTTAAATTGAAAACACTAATGTGAAAATTATAATTTAACTTTACAAAAGGTAAAAAATATTAAATGAGTTCTTGTATTGCATCAGGGAAAGGGGCGATAACAAAATCAATCTATTAAAAAGTCAAAATATAGAGGTCAGGCAACCCTAATCAACTAAATATTATTATATATAATAATATTTAGTTATAATAATATTGCGGGTATAAATTGAGATAAGCTATCCTATCTTTTAAGTTAGTTCAAACTGCACACGGTGTGCCAATTTGAATGAAATCGGTTCGGTAGTTTAGGAGTCCATAGCGGACAAACAACGTGACACGTAATTTATATATATTAAGATATATAAATCTGTTCGTGTGTTTATAATTAAACTCTTTCTAAACGGCTGGAACGATTTAGATAAAATTATTTGTGTGTTCCAGCGGATTCAAGAGCATTTAGATTTACAATTTTTTTATTATTTTAGACGGGTGTTCCGGACACCGGTCCGCAAGTGTTCTATAAAATATTTTTGTAAATCACAACGGCACTTTGCATTCTGTAAATTTATTATTAAGTCATAAATTCTTAATTTTAATTTAATACATTTAAAGTATTAATTTATCCAGATATTATTTTGTATGTATGTAATGATTGAGCTTACCATAATATCCAATATCGCAGACACAAAGAACTTGCTTGGTGAGTACTATTCCCGCTACCATTCCAGTCACACCTGTTACAATCAAAATCAATTTTATTAAGTGAATTTAAAAGTGAGAATTTAAGCCTAAAAGCTAGTGTTGCTAAAAATCATTCTGCAAACAAACCCTCTATTGGTCTCGGTGTTTTTATATGAAAGAAAATACTCATAATAAAAATTATAAAATAAATAAATAATCTAGATAATAAAAATTAAAAAAATTTATTTACAGGTTGTCCTGATAAAATATAAATAAATAAATGACAAAAAAAAACCAATCTTGGCGTTCTCTTGCGGTTCGAATTGTACATTGGACCCGTTACCCATTTATATCTTTTTACCTGCATGCCTCTCTTTTAGTGTACATTTTACATCAAAATTTATTTTAGTTTCTCACCTTGTCTACAATGTGACCTAGGCGGGCACGAGACCTCCTCACAAGCGGACACGGGTGTGACGAGCGTAGAAGGAGCGGAGCTCGAGGGCGTGGCAACCGTAGTGGGCGGGGCTTGCGGCACACACAAAGGCGGCGCGAGACCACGTGCACATACGCAACGGAAACCGGCCCCGTTGTTTTCTTCTACACATGCACCACCGACGCCACAGGGTCCGGACGCGCACGCTGACATCTGGAAAATTAATATAATATTATTAAGATTAAAAAATATTGTGAGCGTCAGAAATGTATCTAGGCTGTGACTCCCGTACGCTATGCATGGCATTTTAACATATATATATACGATACGATGTAGAGAGAAATATTTAATGATTGCTTTAAATAATAATACTCAAAACAAGTTTATGAAACACACTCTGGACCATAGCAAATTGATGAGCATATAACTTTATTTCAAAAGGAATTTGTAAGCAAAATTTTGTACTTTTTGAAGACACAACCCAAAGTTGTATATGTCCAAAAATCATATCAAATCAAAAATCATTTATTCATTTAGGTAAGACAATGTACACTTATGAACGTCAAAAAGAAATACATATACAATGCTTCTAATTTTACATTTACTACCAGTTCTCAAATCAAGGGCGTAGAACGGAAGAGAAGAACTGGCAATAAACTCTCCGCCACTCTATTTAATCGCCAAGTTTTTTTGTTTTACACAATGTTTGTAAGGAGCTGCAACCATTACACTATGTTTCACATGACATTTTAAGTAATTAATAGTTAATTAATATTAAAAAACAAAGGTTTGTCCTCTATCAGCAGTAAGCATGGTGAATTCGAGCACGCACTTACATTCTCCTTAATATACCTTAATCAATTCGATTTTAACACAGGTTTCACTTACACACAGGCAATCTGTCTCTAATATAGTTTCGTTTTAAAAATTATGTTATATATTGTATTTTTTTTAAATAAATAAATAACGTGGTGACTTTGGCAAAATCGAATCGATCTATAGTCTATACACTCAAAAAATATTATTAAAAACACTCGTTGATTACCTTTTGACACCGGTCACCCGTATACCCGGGTAAACAGGCACACACGAATGATCCGTATGTGTCGTAACACACTCCATGCCCGCATACAGATTTCTCTTCTAGACATTCGTTTATGTTTATATCACAACGGGGGCCGGTGTAACCTGAAATCATTTTTTTATATAAGTATATTTACAAATTCAATTATTTTTCCCGTACGTTGTGATTTTAAATTATTATTATAATAATAATCAGTTTATAACGCAACAACCTCTTTAGGATACATTAAAAGGCGCTCAGATTTCTGAAGCTGGTTCATAGATCGCATTTTTCAATCTAATACGACTGCAAGTAGGAGATCAGCCACCAGTGCCTTACACACGCCGTCGACTTTTTGGGTCTAAGACATGTCGGTTTCCTCACGATGTTTTCCTTCACCGTTCCAGCAAATGTTAAATGCGCACATAGACAGAAACGCACGCTGAAGCCACTAGGTCAACACTGCTCAAATTATTATTATTAACATGCATTTTAAAACGGAAAACTTATTCACAATACATTTAAAAAAGAAAATGGCGCTACAACTCTTAGTATCTGTTTCGTGATATTATTTTATAATAGGTAAGGTTATCAGCCTTCTGTGCCTGACACACGACGTCGCCGTTGGTGGCTGGTTTTATCGAAGGCCAGCTCATATTTTCCTTAACCGCACGAGCGAGTGTTTTGTGTGCACATAGACAAGTCCACAGCACAGCCGGAGTTCGAACCTTTGACCGTAGAAATGAAGTCACTAGGCAAAAACCATTTAAATACAAACTTACTGGATTTAAACGCCACAACTGTTATAAGTTTGACCCGTGATGACGCAACCGATTCGGGTTTAATCCAGTAAATCATAGAAATTAAATTCAGAGAGAATAAAAAAGGATTCGATAATTTATTATATAAAAGATATTTACCAGTATTAGTACAATCGCAGGTGTAATTATTAACGGCATCAACACATCGGCCGCCATTAAGACAAGCCGCGCCCGATAGTGCGCACTCATCTATATCTGTCTCGCAATTTCGGCCTGAGTAACCTGAAATATGGATATTAGTATTTTAAGTTTGAAATATATTACTGTATAATAATATTAAATCAGTGGCGCTACAACCACTTTAGGTCTTGGCCTCAGATTTCTGAATCTGTTTCATGATCATTTTAAATCTAATAGGCAAGTAGGTGCTCAGCCTCCAGTGCCTGACACACAACATCGACTTTTTGTGTCTAAGACATGTATGTCGGTTTCCTCACGATGTTTTCCTTCACCGTTCGGGCAAATGTTAAATGCGCACATAGAAAGAAAGTCCATTGGTGCACAGCCGGGGATCGAACCTACGACCTCAAGGATAAGGTTCGCACGCTGAAGCCACTAGGCCAACACTGCTCCGTATAAAACTATTACTGTGCTTAAAATAAACACTATAGAGTATGTCAAGTTTCCGTAAATAATCATGATTTTTCTCTAAATTACTAATTATAGAAGCAAAAAAAACTTAGTAAATAAAATGTATATCGAAATGGAATAATATAAAAACGCATTTTTTTTTAATTATATATATTTCTTAAACAAAAGAATACGTGTTTAAAAGAATTACCTGGTAGGCAATCGCATACATAGCTATCAGCTCCAGTTGGCACACTACACGAGCCGTTGTTACGACATGGTCCCGCCACGCACTGCGGGTCTAACGAGTCTTCCAGTTCACAGTACATACCTGGGCATACGAAAATCTATATTTATTTCAAAATGTAACACATAATTTTACTTAAAACACACGGTATTTGTTCAATGAAGTGTCATTCCTTAATTATTCAATTAAAAAGTACAGTTTGTATTATAAGTACAGTGGAACCTGCTTAATGCCTCTGCAACTTGAGACGTTTTCATACATTTTGTAACGCTTAATACGATTCTTTATACCGTTTAATACACCAACAACGCGTACAATTAAAAAAAGATTTAACCGTGTTGAAACTGAACATTCTTCAATTGATGACAACGTCTGTATGAAATTGAATTACTTGAAGATCTAATTGAGAATGTAAATCAGAAAAGAGGCCCTAAGTAATAATGATGAAAACGACGGCGAGTTAACTCCGATATTGTCAAACGCAAATATTTACCAGCTCTTAATGATTTAAGACGCTATATAGCTTCTTTGAATAAAAGCGAAAACGCAAAAGTAAATTTATGATTTTTTATTGATAAAAGCTTGCCAACGCTCGGCACACTGATGTGGTAAAAGAACCACAAAATACAATTTTTAATGTCTCTTATAGGCAAACATGACATACACGAAGACATAATATAAATATTAAACAATACAATTAAAATTACAAAAACTACACGAAAATCGATTTTAAAGTGTGAGGTGATGAAAATCATGTAATTGCTAATGCATCGAAATCTGTCAAACCGAACAAAGTTAATTTAAATAACGTAAGTAAAATTACACCATTAATATAACTTATAAAGGTATAATGTAAAACCTAGATATACGGAATTAGAACATAATAATAAGTAGTACGTTTAATTTTCCATATCTCACATTTTGGTTGGGTTTCTGAGAAATCAGGTTTTACTGTATCTAATACCGCGTACGCTCGCAGCTTAATAGTTTTTTCAACTCTTCGCCGGGGTAATATACTGTGATTTTAAATATATTTAGAAAAGATTAACTAAAGGTTTTCTGGTAATTTAATAAAAATCACTTAAATGTATACAATATTTTGTTATAATATACATATATGTAATAATAATAGCCTTTAGGGAGTTTCAAATAAAAATATAACTGGAATCAAATTAAAGGTAAAATCTTGATGAACTATTTAATCACCGTTCTTTTTTATGTATCATTAGAGAGCATACCGTGATAATGTTTAGGACAGAGACACGTGTAGTCCCCCCGAGTGTCTTCCACACACGTTCCTCCATGGTGACAAGGCGCGGACGCACAGGGATCACCCGCGTCCACTTCACAATTGTTGCCGGTGTATCGAGCTGAGCAATGACATTCATATCTGAAAAAAGAGACTTTTAATTATTATATAATTCCTGTATTATTTTATCCAATTGTGCTATTAGATACATATCTAAAAATATCGGTAGTGACAGGTATTTTTGGTAAAATCTTAAGCGGGCCATAGACGGACCGCATGTTGCAGCCGATACCGACTGCTCTAAGCGGTCGCCGCACGGCGATCTGCAGTTTCCATACTAAATTCATATTCGCAATACACCGACCGCTCGAGCAGTTCCTAAGCAAACCGCATGTTGCAGTCGGTCTTCACTGCAACATGCGGTCCGTCTATGGCCCGCTTTATGTACCCATATTTTAACTATATATGACACCGGAAGATCCGCAAGTTCGTAGGATTCTAAACGAGAGATAAAATGTATTACATATTACGCCCACATTTTCGCAAATTTAATTTGCGCCGTCACGTGGTAAATTTATAAACTAACGGATATCCATTCGTAAGATTCTAAACGGTTAGGTTAGGTTAGTAACTTTTTCAACCAATCAGAGCACACATGTCGTTTGGCTATCACTTACTTATTACGCGTGAGTTCGGCAAGTTTATCAATTTGCGAAAATGTGGGCTTATATCAATACAATTTATAATCCTAAAAAGTTTATAAATGTCCTAGGAAGTTTATAAACTTGCGGAGTTTGTTACATTCCGGTGACATATACATGTTTCCGAGGCACAAATTTGACGATTGCTTGAAATATACTTCAAAAAATTACAAACACTTAAAACATAAAAATGAAATTAAATAATGTTTTAAAAAAAAAAACTCTTAAAAACTTTTTACATAAATTAACTTACCTATCGTGTCTCGATATACAAGTCCCGTGTCTCAAACACGGCTCGTTGTAGCAGTGGTCTTTTGGCGGTATCCGTAACACGTCCTTTCTATCTTTACCTGAAATACCAAAATAAATCATAGAAACTCCACTGAAATAACTTTCAAAATAATATCATACAATTATTAAATTTAAATAATTTTCAATAATGTTAGAAAATCTTCCATTGTCACTCTAATGATATACGGCCAACCCGTGACCATGCAAAAAAATATCAGTGGCGCTACAACCTCTTTTTATCTAATCATTTTTCAATATAATAGGCAAGTAGGTGATCAGCCACCAGTGCCTGACACACGCCGTCGACTTTTTGGGTCTAAGACATGTCGGTTTCCTCACGATGTTTTCCTTCGCCGTTCGAGCAAATGTTAAATGCGCACATAGAAAGAAAGTCTATTTGTGCACAGCCGCGGATCGAACCTACGACCTCAGGTATGAGAGTCGCACGGTCAAGCCAATAGGCCAACACTGCTCACTTGCAAAACAATAGAAAATTTACTTACATTCATCAGTGGTTAGTGGACAATGCCCAAACCGCACATTGGTCTGCAAAAGATACGCAGCATGGAACTCCAGTTGTGGACCCTCGTGAAGGCATCCGCTGAACACGTTACCCACTAATACCACTGCACCGTTGGCTTCTAGGGCGCCGGCTGATAGCAATTCACCATTCCAGGTCACGTTTGATATCACCTAGGAAGAATAACGAGTTAGTGACTTGAGTTTGTTACAAAAATATTCTATATAACTCGCAAAAAAGATACGTAAATATTTATTAAATACGTGACACCGTAGCATACACACTTTTGTGTTTTTTGTTTAATTGTGATCATTTGTTTATTATTAATTGTAATTCTATTAGGCGCCTTCTGTGCCTGACACACGCCGTCGCCTTTATGGATCTAAGGCATGCCGGTTTCCTCACGATGATTTTTTACACCGTACGAGCAACTGTTTCGCTTGCGATGCGCACATAAGCAGAAAGTTAATTGGTGCACACCCGGGATTCGAACTTACGATCTCAAAGATGAGATTCACTCACTGATGCCACTAGGCAAAAACATTTATGTTAAATGATTTAAATTAATTATTTTAAAATGTTGTATTAATATCTTTTACTGAAGTGTAAATCTTTTAAAGTATTTTATACAAAAAAATACAGCTATATTTAGAATGTCACTTACAATTAACTTCATTACTCCAATCATGCCAAGAAACGAGTACTGATATACATAACATTTATAATAGTCACAAAATACCTGCGATTCCCTATCAACTTCGAGCAACAAAGCAGGTGGGTTGGGCCGATATTTCAATGCTACCCAATGCCAGCGATTATCCAGTGTCTCCTTCGCGATCCCGACCTCTCTCTGCGGCTGCCCAGGCCTAGACCACGAGACCACAACCTGCTCGTACAACGCTGTGACATGGAGAGTGTACCCTTCCGATCGTTGTGAAAAAAGCTCACCGCCTGAAAAAGATTATTTTCTAGTATAGTGATTGTTATATTATATAGGTTTTTTAAAATTAAAATCATGTTTAAAATTGCTAAGGGTATACATAATAATCTGAAGAATATAACCACATGTTTTTTTATATGATTAGAACATTATACATTAATTTATTGATGAAACACATTTTAAATTAAATAAAAATTAATGTTTCTCATATCAGCAAATTACGCTTAAATGAGCATCAATATTTAAAAAAAATAAGATCTAAATTAAGTACTAGTTCCCAAATCAAGGGCGTAGAGAAATAAGAACTGGCAAAAAACTTTCCGCCAATCTTTTCAATTACAAGGAAATTGTAAGGAACTGCAACCAGTACACCATACTTCACTAGACAATATGAAACTAAACGATTAATAATTTAGATCATTGCACTTGTGTTTGTTGCAAATCAGCAAGTACCTTAAAAGTGTGAAAAGTGGAAATGGAAGCTAAAGCTATCTTGATGGTTAAGCATTCGAACGAAAATTCAGTTGCAAAAATTGACGATACATTATTTTTTGTTAGCGCTTAAATCAAGCCGGCGCACATGAAGAACCACTTTTTACGCCCACATCTGTGCTTCTGCGAAATCATTACTGGTAGACATTGAATTACCTTTTTTGGTTAATCATGGGTTTTCTTAAAGCATCTCTATGCACTCAACAGCAGCGTTCACACGTGAACGCTTCTTTGAAAATAATAAATCTCCGTACAATATCATAATATTCATTTCTAATACAATATTATTATTAAATTAATTATATTATATTTAATACATAAGTGATTATAAAAATTTCGAGTTATTAGACTAGGCATTTATCAGACTAGGCCAGAAGATGTAGTCGCGTAGTATTTAGATTATGTTTATACATTTTTAAAATACAGTGGATTTCATTTATTACGAACTTGGTTGTAACGACCAGTTAGCTATAGCGACGTTAAATCTAACTCCTTTGAATTAGTTTTATTAATTATTCAAAGAATACTTTAGTAGAAACTTCATAGCTATATATATATATTTATGGCGACTTTGGATATAACTGAGTTCGGGTAAAGAAACTTTTTTTTTAAATTAATCATTTTTGTAACAAATGCCAAAACCAATGGAGATAGATAAAGCGGCCTGAGTCGGTCGTCAAAGACACATTCTTATCTTTTACAGATGGTCAGTACGCGTGTATGTTTCCGAGTTAAATTTATGGTTCAGTTACGAAGTGATATTCTAAGTAGGAACTGTGTCTCTACTGAGAATATGTCTCTCTACCTAGTTTGTAACGACGTCCAGATATAACAATGAAATTAGAGTGGTACCCGTATCGTCGTCGTTAAATCCGAAATCAACTGTACATTGATATTCCAACACACAAATATACAGTGCTTACAATATTCTTAACCTACATCATAATAAAAATTAAATATAAATTTAAATTACTTAAATTAAAATTAAATGCAATTTATAAATTGAAAACTAAGTTATTCTGGCGTATACCTTTAAATTCGTAATTAACTAGAATATTAACTATATAGTCAAGTAGTGGGTCCGCGAAATAAGGGTTTTTAAAAACTTAAAGTTAAAATGAATACAACCGGTCCGATTTGAGGTCCGTTTAATACTGTATATTACAAGCGTTCTATTATATTTACATCCTATTCTTACAGGCCTACGTGACCGTTGTGCTGACACATTGTTCTCACGCTCTACAAGGAAACGTTACTTAGTAAGAACTAAGAGTGGTTCGTAAATCGTGTAAGAGTGGTTCGTAAATCATGTAACAGCACTTCGGCTATTGAAATATAAAGGATCTTTGTACTACTATGTTGCAATGGTTTTGTTTATATAAAATATAATTATGGTGGTGACACACGGGGTTATATAACTCCTCCCTCCTGAAGAGCGAAATTATCAGGGGATTGCACATGTAAATTCTGATTATTTCGCCACTGCAACATATTAATAATCTTATTTTTTATAAAAAAAAACACAACAATTATCAAAAATACAATAAGAGAGTGCCTAAACTAATGATTTTCACTTTCACTGAATTGCCCATTTCACTATCACTTTCTCTGTTAAGTTGTTTCAGCATGTAAGACATGTGTTGCAGGTCACTAGGGTCCATTCCTTGTAAGTTTACTGGATTCTGATTTTCCTTAGAGTTCACTGGTGGCTGTAACTCCAGCAGCTTAATGGATGGGAAACGTTCTGATGACATATTTTCTGTATGAACACTCTTCTATAATTACTGTATTCTGGTAACAGTTGGGTGGGTTTTCCTTGAAGGTCATCAACTCCTCAATGCATGTCGTTTCAGGATACGGTTGCCCTGTTTTCTTGTGTGCAGAGATTATAAAATTTTCCTCAGAGACTTGTTTGCAATGCTGTATAAGCGGTAAGTATGTTACACCTTTCACCAGGATATAGGGATATTTAGGAATGATTATTAAGGTTAGGTTTTTAGGGTCATGAAAGATAGGTAAGGGATACATTCTATTATAACTTTAAGTTGAATTGGCTATTAAAGCTACCTCTAATACAAAAGTTATTTTCCTGTCTATCATGTATGATTTAACATTAATCGTATCTTTCTAATTAGCTTATTTTTATATAAAGCGTTCTAAAATTACTTATAAAAAGATTATATAAACTTAAAACATATGTAGAGTATACTGCATTATTTTCTTTAGTACTTATGTCTATTAACATTTTTTTTTTCTACACGTTTTAGTCTTTCGTCCATAATTTTTGAGTTATTGTGTAATATTTCTGATAAATTAATGAGTCCATCTAACATTTTGGAAACAACTGTTAAACGCTTGTTTGTGGAAATTTTGTTGATTACCTAATTGATTTATTAACTGTTCATATCGTTGAGCATCTTCCTGATCTAAGTTTCCAGTTATCATTTTAATAATAGAGCCTAGAGGGTTCAATATTCCTCTTCGTACTCGGTGTGAAGGGATTATTTGCCTAATCTTTTCAGTAGTTATTCTTTCTAAATACTCTACTTGTTCCCTTATTCCTAAAAAATCTTTAAACTAAGGCTTATCATCACTTACTATCTTACTAAAATTACTATATTTCCTATTGTTTTATTCTAATTCCATCAGTAGGCCATTTAAATCTAATACCTTAAAAATAAGCCAGTTATCTTGTTGGATGAAGGCTGTTCCTGTCTTACGGATCCCTGAATTGTTTTCAACCTTTTGAAGTTGAAGGCCCAAACTGGGGCTCGTGAGTGTCATCATGATCACTAAGCACCACCTTTGAAGGTCGTTTTATGTTTTTAATTGGTACCTTTTTGTGTTTACCTCTAATTGTAATAGGGATGGTGTTTCTTTCAGGTTTTCCTGTAACTATGGCCTTTTCAAAACAAGGTTTGTCCTTACTTCTGCGAGTGTTTATTAATTTTGTGAAAATGGTTTTCCCTTCTGGTAACGGGACGTCGGATTCGCCACCGCGTTTTTCTCTAGAGTTTTCCTTAAACGTTAACATTTTATCAGATATGTATTTGTATAAAACTTTTATTCTTTTGGCGTGGTCTTTAATTAATTTTTGCAAGTATTGTTTCTCGAAGTCTATATTGAATGGGTTTTCAGAATCTACATGGCCAAACACTACTTCAAACGGTGTTAAAGTTGTTACAGTATGAATCGCATTATTATATGCCATGATAGAGTAGGTCATAATAGATGCGGCGTCGGTACATTGTTGTTCGTATTTTGCCAGTCTGTAAATTTCGATTAAGGTGGAATGAAAACGTTCAACTATTCCCATTGAATTAGGGTTCCTAGGCGTGCCGATATGTATTTGGATTTTATAGAGTGACATCATTTCTTTCAATAGATCGTTGTTGAATTCAGTACCAGGGTCGCAGCTTATTTTCTTAGGTATACCGTAAAATGAAAAGTATTTTATTAGTGCGCGGATAACGTCAGGTGTGCCTTTACTAGGAATTTCAATCGCCTGTCCTAGTTTGCTAAAAGCGTCAACTAAGGTGAGGTATGTTTTTCCTTCGATACTAAATATATCTATAAATAATTCCTGGAATGGGGCATCTTGCGTTTGAGTTAACTGTAAATATGGTTTCAAAGGCTTTCGGTCATATTTCATTTGTTTACAGGCTTCACAAGAATTAATTACTGCTGATATAGTTTCTTTCATGTTATTCCAAAAGAAGTGTCGCCTGATGTGTGTAAAAGTTTCTTGAATACCTCTGTGACAGGTTTTTCCGAGATGAAATTTCAGAATAACGGCTTTCTGTTCATTTTCATCGTCAATAAAAACGATTCTTTCCGTACACTCATAAAATTGAATTGATCCACCTTTAAAAAGCCTAATTACCATGTTGCTGAATTGTTTGCGATGTTCCGTATTTTCGAAATATATAAAATATTTCTTTTTGGGTTTTATGTATTCTTTCAGGAATTGTTTGATTAAATTTTCATTATCTATGGGTAGAAAAACTTCTAAGATTCTTTGTTTTTCACGGGACACGTCACGAACTTGAATGCTGTTTTTATACCATTGGAAAACTAATATTTGGTTAGGCTTCGAATCAATTGCTTCGTTTAAAATAGGAATACCGTGTGACTCAAGGTCTTGTGCTGAATGTATAGTTTCAGATTTACTCGAAAGAGATGGAATCGGGTTTGTAACTTTTTCGAAAGATTCATTGGATTTTTGCGAATCTATGTCTGAAATAGTGATTGTATGTTCAGAGTCAGTAATTGAAATTGTTCTTGAGTCTTGTGAATCGCGACGCAATCGTTTTTGTATCTCCTTATTATCACAGTTTACTTTCATGGATTCTTTATCGGATAATGCATTAATTTTAATACGAGATAAAGCATCAGCATTACAGTTTTGTTTCCCTTTTTTGTAAACTACTTCGAAGTCGTAGTCCAGGAGATTTAACCGCCAACGGGTGAGTTTACTACTGGGTTCCTTAAGAGAATGCAGCCACGCTAAAGGGCGGTGATCTGTGTAAATAATGAACTTCTTCCCATAAAGATAGGGGCGGAAATGTTTGATAGCCCAAACAATGGCTAGAAGCTCACGTTCAATCGTGCTATATTTAGATTCAGTTTCAGTGAGGGTTCTGCTCGCGTAAGCAACGGGTAAGTCGTTGCCTACTATGCCTTGAGAAAGTACAGCACCTAAGGCTATTTGTGAAGCATCGGTCGTTAGGATAAAGGTTTTTTCTGTATCTGGGTATTGTAGAAGAGGTGCATTTGTTAATAGTTCCTTACACTTTTGAAAGGCGTCAATATATTGTTGATCTATTACAATTTTATTACGTTTTTTTAAGCAATTTGTCAGCGGCTTTGTGATTTTAGCGAAGTCTTTTATGAATCGGCGATAATAACCGATAAGGCCAAGAAAACTCTTGATTTCAGTTGTGGTTTTTGGTAAAGGATATTTCAGGACTGCTTGAATTTTATCATCATTTGGTTGCAAGCCATTTTCTGTAATCTTGTGACCAAGGTAGAGAACTTCTTTACATAAAAATTCGGTTTTGTCCAATTGTACTTTTAAGTTTGAGTCTCTAAGTCGCTGAAAAACTGTTCTTAATTTATGTATGTGTTCCTGTAAG